AGGTATGGCTTGAGCTACACCAGCCATGGCTACAGTTGAACCCTAAGAGATATCCAGTTAGCATTTATTGAACATCTACTACATACAATATGATACCCTTTGCCAGATGCTGAGGAACTGAGTCTGTCATGGCTCTTGCTTCACATCATCTGTAGCTGGGAGATGAATGTGAAAATCTATGAGACTTGCCATTTTAACACAACTAAAAGGTTGGGAATGGTGTGGTATGGGTCTGTAATCCCAGCACTTGGGAGGCTGAGGAAGGAGGATCTTGAGTTGGAGGCTAGCCTGGACTATGTAGTAAGACCCTGTCCCAAAAAAAGAGAAGGAAAGGGAGGGAGAAAAGGAGGAATGGTAAGAGAGAAGAAAAGGAGGAAAGGGAGGGAGAGAAGAAGAAAAAAAAGCAAAACAAAACAAAAACCAAACTCTAAAAACAAGAAAAGAAAAAGACAGGAAGGCTGAAGTGAGAATATTTTTCAGTTTTTTAGCAGGATGTAAGTGACTGACATTTTTGTTGTACTGTTTCTATTCTTGGGCCTAAAAGATGTCCCCCTGACTGGGTCATTCCATGACTCCATGGTTTTTAGGACAGTGGGGTTGGGTCTGGGAGTTCTGGGAAAATCAGAGGCCCTGATAAAATCAACAGAAGTATATTTCATTCCTCAGTTCTAACTGAGGAAGGATGAAAGCTGTAACTTTTGAGGCTGCTCTATCTGCAAACAGGACAACAAGCCTGGAGTATGTTTCAACGAGAGTCAGTTCTAATCCTCCCCTCACAAAAATTTGTTCCAATGCTCTCTAGCCTTTTATTTCTACAATTGCCAAGGACTATAATGAGTTTTCCCACTTCTGTGCTTTGACTGCCAGTTAACTTCCTAATTTGGAACTAATTACTAAACTGCTTAAAAATTTTAAGACAAAGAGCATCCTCTTACCGACTTTCCATTAATCACTATGGTATCTGAGGACATGGCTCTGAGCCGAGAACAGAAACTTCTTCTTCCCAACACAGAACAAACTATTATTCCTTGTCAGTGTGGCTCAGATGTTTTCATACTCATCAGCAGCCAACTATGTTGTTATCTTATGTTAAAGTTATGGAAGAGCTTAAAGTCTTTTAAGACCTGGGAGCCACTTGCAGAGGTAATGCTGCATAAAACCCTAAATTGCACGTCTTTCTGACTAGCGAGCTTTACTATGAAGAAAGCTTCCAGTCAAATGGAGGGAGCCTTTGTTTCTAACTCACTTGGCAGCTTTTTTTAATTGGTTCTTCACTTATGTGTTTGTTTGGGTTTTTTTCTCACACTTTTCTTTGCTAATGCTATAGCTGATTTTTTTTAATGGGTAATGAACTTTAAAGTGGTCGTGTTGTTATGTTTGTTTAACTGAAATTTTCTATCATCTTTCCTAAAGCATAGAGAGTACAGTTTTATCAACTTTGAAAAGTGACTGGTACTGAGCACAGGAGTAGCTCAGTGGTAGAGGGCATGCCTACCATGTGCAATGCCCCAGGGGCACCTCAAAAAAAAAAAAAAGGATGCACTTCATATAATAGTCTAATGGAGGGTGGTGTTGGCAAATCAAATGATATACAAGAACCATGCTGTGGCTTGAGGCTTATGTCCACACTACTGACGCATCTTAATAGACACATGAAATAAGGACATGAAGCAATGATTATAAGAACTGGAGCAATTATATATGAGCAATCTATAGAGAAGTGGACTCCATACCTTTTCTAACCTCCAAATTTTCAATAGTGATTTTTTTCAACCTAATATGGGGAAGATGAGAAAACATCATTTTGGTATGGTGTGGAAATCCCACCTTCTCCAGAAAGCAATGCACACTTTATGACAAGTCTTTTTTTTTTCCCCCCCTTTTTTAACTTTTACTCTATGTGGACTTCACTCTCACTCTCTGTGAGACTATCAGAGTCTCAAGTGAAACTGAGAATTTCCCTCTTGTTTTTCACTTTCCACAGGCTTAGACAGGAGAGAGACATTTTTGAAAAGGGTGCTGCAAAGGCACGTCATGAGAGCAGGCATGGAAGGATGACACTGAGGAGATGCCCAGGCTGACTGCCCAGAGATCAACACCGACAGCTTGGAGCAGGCCAAAGGATTCCAGAAACTTCACTTGTTATATCTTATGTTTGTGGAATGGAGTCTCACTAACTTCAGGGAAAACAAAGAGTTGTACAGGCACCCTCAGCTACCACAACTAGTATGTGATAGTCATAACAAAGAATACTGAATAACCGCCTAGTCAAAATGTTGATGTAACTAGTTTAAAATGTGTGTGGTGAGGTCAGGCAGGGAGGAAGATAATAAAGACAAGAACAATGTGTTACCTAGAAATAGACACTAAAATAGGAGGTCATGACACATGGAGGAAGATTAGGAAATTGTTTTTTTTGTTTTGCCTTGTTAATGTTTTTTGTTACTAATTTAGAGTTTTGTTGGTGTTTTAGAACCACTTGACTCAAAAGAGTTTTACAGGACTAGAAGGAAGGGGTATCATCATGGCATAAATATATTAAATTCATTTGGTAGCTGGCAAGACTGTGTAACAGTGAGTATGTACATAAAAATAAAGAGCCAAATAAACATTGCACCAAGGTCTTTAAATTGGCTTGAAAAGCTAGTTAAAAGTTGACTGGAAGAGGGTGGAGGACTTTTCATAGAAATGTGGAATGGGAAGCTGGATAAAATAATGGCATTCCTGAGACATCCAGCATAGACTACTCTTCCACAGTCTAGAAGAAAAAAATGGAAAGAATTTGGATAAAAAGGTGCCAGTGGCTGTCACCTGTAATCTTAGCTACTCAGGAAGCTGAGATCTGAGGATTGTGGTTCAAAGCCAACGTGGGCAGAAAAGACCATGAGACTAGTGTGTGTGCGCGTGTGTGTGTCTGTGAGTGTGTGTGTGTGTCTATCTGTCTGTCAGTTGTAGGACTTACTCTGGGCCTGGAAGCTGTCCCTGAGCTCTTCAGCTCAAGGCAAGTGTTCTACCACTTGAGCCACAGATCCACTTCTGGTTTTCTGGTGGTTAGTTGGAGATAAGAGTCTCACGGACTTTCCTTCCCCAGGCTGGTTTTGAACCATGATCCTCAGATCTCAGCCTCCTAAGTAGGTAGGATTACAGCATGAGCCACTGGCAACCAGCACCATGAGACTCCTATCTCCAATAAACTAACCCCCCAAAAAGCCAGAATTGGAGCTCTGGCTCAATTAGTAGAGCACTAGCCTTGAGCAAAAGCAACGCAGGGACAGCCCTAGGGCCAATACCAAAAAAAAGGAAGGAAGGAAGGAAGGAAGGAAGGAGGGAAGGAGGGAAGGAGGGAAGGAAGGAGGGAAGGAGGGAAGGAGGGAAGGAGGGAGGGAGGGAGGAAAGGAGGGAGGGAGGGAAGGAAGGAAGGAAGGAAGGAGAGGGAAGGAGGTAGGGAGGGAGGGAGGGAAGAAAGTAGCAATAACAATAACATTACCAACAATATTTATTAATAATAATTAACCTTTATATTTATCAAGTAGAAAAGTTACAATATGAATTCATTTAATCCTCATAAAATTCTATGAGGTACTATTAATATTCCCATTTTAAGATAAGGAAATGGAGGCACAGCAATGCTAAGTAAACTCATGTAAAAGTACAGATTCCAACTTAGGGAGTCTGGCCTCCAAGTAACACTCTAAACTTTTATTTGGAAGGTTATTTGGGGAGTTGTGTGTGTGTGTGTGTGCGCGCGTGTGTGCATGCATGCGTGTGCGTGTATGCGCATGCCTGCCAGACCTGGGGCTTGAACTCAGGGCCTGGGCACTGTCCCAAGGCCCACTGTTCAAGGCTAGTGCTCTACCACTTGAGCCACCACTCAACTTCCAACTCCAAACTTTTAAAGGATGGGTATGTTCAAGTGGTTGGGAAACTGAGGGGGAAGAGCCAACAAAATGAGAAACTGAAAATGTGAATCTGAAAATCCAAGCCCTGGACTGGGAGTAGAATGGAGAGCACAGGTCACAGGTTAGCTTCATGCAGAATAGGAACTGTGCACAAGTGCCACAACAAAGAGGCACTCACTGCTGGCAGGATGAGATTTTGATTGCAGAGCCCAGGATTGAGGTGGTGAGGCCGGAGAGGTGGTGAAGCCATTAATGAAACTTGGAATAGAAATGAATGAGAAGTATCAGACTGTCATGAACAACGTAAGTCTGGCAGGGGCTAGACAGCATGGTTGTTTCCCTGCAATGTTTAGGAGCCCATACCCAGGGGTAATGAGGGAAGTTTGGTTGCAGAACTGTAGGTGCAGCCTTCAGCTGGTGGAAGTCTGCCAATGGGCAGGAAACTGCAATAAGAAAGGCCAAAGGAGTGATCTGAAGTGCCAGATAGAATGGTACTTAACTAATACCTAGATCCTTCCATATCAGGGTCCAAACACCTTCACCACCATGAGGACAAGGCACAAGAACCAGAGTCTCTGTGGGACAGATGGCTGAGGGAGGCCTGACCTCTCTGCTGAACACAACTGGCGCTGGTGATGGGCTTTCAGAGGAACCAGAAAAAAATAGCCAGGAGCTGAGTGGTAATAGCCTAGATAGAACCAAAGGGCACAGAGTATAGGCAGGAAGGGGAGGAAAGGATTTGGAGAACCTCTCAGCTAATCTAGAACTTGGACGTAGAAATGAAAGGGGCCTATGCAAGAGGAGGTGCAATCTACTTGGGGCCTGGGGAGAGTGGCAGGCAGGAAGAGAGACCCTAACAGTAAAGTGGTATGTTTCTGAGATAGCATAAGGGAGCTGGCTTGGAAGAGCTTAGGGTGCTTACTTTAGTATGGAGATTCAGCAGCTCTCGAGGCCTAATAAAGGATTAACTGTGCAATTACTCCAATTGGAGGAATTAGAAAGATTACATTTAAGTCTATTGAGATTTGATACATTTTTATAAAGCCTACTTCAATAGGTTTTTCTATGTCCTTTAACAAGTTGTCAAAAAGCGACTCAAAGTTTGATGTAAGTACGAATTTATTGACATGAATACCTTTAGCTATTATTTGAACACAGAGAGGATACTGAAGAGCTGAAGACAATGATAATAAACCCACAGGATCTAATGTTTGCAAGGCCCACTCCCTCTGAGAGACAGAGAGAAGAGAGAGGGTGGGGAGCAGGGCAGAAGGAGGAGGGGGGAAGGAGGGAAGGTGGGAAGAGAAGGGAGGAGAGATCTGAACAAACCTTTAAAAAGAATCTGGAGACTGCTTTCAATTATAGTAAGAAGTAATGACAATTTGACAATTTAAGCATTTTATCCAGAAACATATATCTATTCCATAGATACCAAATCGATCACCATATAATTGAGTTTGAAAATATACAAAATATTTGTTGTTCTTACATACTCAAATTAAAACCTAATTTTAAAAAGTGCACAGTAAAAACAGCATAAGGAAACCTACGATATCCATGGTATACGTATTGTTTTCCATTTCACTGTCAACATCAAATTCTGTATTTGCCTTACTGCTTGCAGATATATCCGAAGTGTTTCAAGGTCATACTCAACACTGACTAGTTTACTGGGTCCAACAACACTCTGGCTGCCCGATGGCTGCCAGCACTGGACGTAGAGTCTCGGCCCTGTAGTTCTTGCAGCTCTGGAAGGAACAGTCACCAACCAGCTATTTGTAAACTATCGACTCTTGTTCTTTTTAGAATTGCCCTGTGCAAAGAAAAATATTCGCAATAAGAACACAACCTTCCAGAAAAATAGTTCGCATAGTTTATTAACCAAACTGTCTGATGACTATTTCACTTTGGGGCATGCAGGCTTCCCAGAGGGAGAAAGTCAATAATCTTGCATGGTTAACTTTCCATCACAATCACAAAGCAGTTTGTTGTAGGTGATACAAAAAGAAAAAAAAAAAAAGGGCAGCTCCTGTTTGGGATTTATCAAAGCCTCAAACATCCATGTTATTCCCAAAACGGAATATGAAATTTATGAAGCTGAATAAAATAGATTGTCCTAAATATGTTCCGTGTTTAAATAAACATCCTTTAGAGATCTCAGCAGAAATCATTTGATGTTCTTTGTGTGTGTGTGTACATTTGTTTTCTGTAACTAGGTCTTGCAACGGAGGCTAGGTTAGCTTTCAACTATCAATCTTTCTGATTTTTGACTCCCTATGATTACAGGGGTACACCAGTAGGCTTACCCCAATAATTTTGAATATAGGCTAACTAATACTCAACTGATACTATTATCTGTCAAAAATAACCTTAGAAAATGACTGAGGACAAGTTAGAGAAAAGATATTTTAACTCATTTCTAATTTCTTTAAATACGGAAGTCCAGATTTTCTTGTTTTGCATAGCTTGTCTTCTTTTTGGAGTGGTTTTCCCTCTTAGAAAGTTTCTAACTGAATTCATAAATGAGTAGGAGTTCTTCTTATAATTGGGTAATGCCTACAGATTAAAAACCAGAAGCAAGATAATAGCAAACAAATGGTTGAGGATGTTTACTTCAAATCTAGTGGAGGGAGATAATGTCAATCAGCCATAAGGTGATGCTGTATGGTATCAACTGCTAATAAATGGAGGAGAAGAAGGGATTACAGAATAATCAAAGAAAGATGAGCAAACCAGGTGCTGGTGGCTCACACCTGTAATCTTCAAGAGGCTGAGGTCAATCTGAGAATCATGGTTCACAGCCAGCCTGGCAGGCAAGTTGGTGAGATCCTTATCTCCAATTAACCACCAGAAAACTGGGAGTGGAGCTGTGGCTCAAAGTGGTAGAGTCCCTACCCTCTGGGCATTCAGGCCTTGAGTTCAAGCCCCAGATTAGCAATCAATATAAAGTCTAAACTGAAAAGTAGTCTCTTAACTCAGTTTTCTTAATGCAAGTATTTTAAGGAACACATTAAAAAAAAAAAAAACTTTAGGAAAACTTGAAAATTCCCTAACTTCTGAAGTAGCTATAATTCGATTACACCTTGAACATACCACCTATCTTCTTGACTCAGCCATTATTAGGAATGTAACAGTGAGTTATACTGCCTGTTAGAATATCAAGAAGACAACATGAGGCAATCTTCAGGAGGACCAGCCCGTGCTTCAGTTAGCTGCAGCTCAACTTTCCTGAAGCCAAAGTAACCAAAGAGCCCCCATCTGCTGTGTTAGCTGTTATGGTCATCACAGAAATAGCCCAGACAAGCATCAGAGACCCCCGCCCCTCCTAAGTGGCAAGTGGTGAAGGACTATCAAAAGACTACCAAAAGACATAGTTATACAATGCAGTCTCCAGTGTATTAACGAACAATTTTCTAAGGAGGCTCCAATTGAGCAGATCACTGCTAATGCTAAAACCGAACTCTGGTTTATTCATTTCCACTTCTTTTCCAGGGCATGCAGCAGAAACTCAATAAATGCCTGCAGAATCAGTAAGCGGTAATAGCAGATCTCAGAGAACAAGCTGGAGCTAGCAAATCCTATATGTTTGTGGTACAATATTGTGTGAGTCACTGAAATGTGCTAAGTATCTGAGGTGACACACAGAACCAAATCCCTGGTCCCCTGAAGCCTACCTTCGTGGCAAAAGAATATACACATGACCATCCAGTAAGAGAGACATGGCGTGTGGCTATGCATTCCAACCTGACATATTACACAATAGCTAGGGACAAGGAGAGGCTTTGAGAAATTAAAAGAAAGGAGATCTCTGGAATTAAAAGGTAAGAAAAACATTCCTAAATTATATGGCTAGTCAAGAGAATTCACTAAAAGTCATTCTGACACCATTTAGACTCTTGTATAAACAAAGAGCAGTCCCTCTTTTAAAACCCTCTGTGACACCCCCTCCCAGCTATACAAGAGTAACAGAAATGCCAAGAAAGCACCAGACACAGCATTAAAGCCTCGGCTTATAACTCAGCCAAAGAAACTTAATTCTCCTTCTGGACAGGACAATTGACATTAAGGAAAATGATTCACAAGCACTTTAAATCTAATAACCTTCAGCTTTCAGAATGCCTAACAATGCATTATCATGTATGGACCATATTAAACACCAACCTCACCTGACCTACCTTACTGGCCATCTTGAGCGTGTCAATCTCTTCTCTCTGTTTGGACAGTGTCTCATTCATGCTGCACAGGTGGTCACTCATCATACTTAACTGATCCTCATAACTCCTCTTGGTAGTTGTCAGCTCATCCTATAGAGCAAAGGAAAAGAGAGGAGAAAACCCAAAGCCCAGCTAGTCACAGTACTCTAAAGCTTTTTAAATGATTAATTATTACAATAATTTGGAAAAGCAACTTAGCAAAATGGCCAAGTTGGTCAACTAACATGAAAGCTAGTGCACAGGGGAACAAAGTTAAGAGTAATGTGGGAAAAAAGTTTCCATCTTCAACATATGTTAATAATTTCTATGTAAAAGTGTAAGGCATACAATCTATGCAGGGCATAAAATCATCAGAAAAAGCTGAGTGATGCTTCCAAATCCCCTCCTCTTCCCCATGCCTTGCATGAGGTGGCTTCACACTGGCCCCAGCTCATGGCTCTTCGACTCACAGCTTTCACTCTGGAAGGCACATTCTTCTTTCCTTCCACCTTTCCCACTCCCATCAGCCCTGCAGATCTGATCTTGTGCTCCTAACCAACTGGAGAAAGTAATCTGAAACAAGGAGGTGCTGGGCAGTGCTCTATGACTGGGTTTTCCTGTGCCTGCATAGAACCTATATTTGTGATAACAGGAGCTTCCTGAAAAACAAGGCTAATTTAAAACAGGGCAAGGAAGAAGGAATATTTCTGCATCCCCATCTTTTAATTTGTGGCAGTTATATGAACTCGAGAAGAGAAAGAACAGAATAATGTGTACAGCAAACTGCTGTTTATTTAATAAAAAAGAAGAAAAACAGAGAATTTTAAATAAATATAATTTTTTTAAAGTGTTGACTATAAGAAAATTTAAAAATAAAGATCAAGTCTGGAGGGAAAGCAAATAAGACAACCACTCTTGAACTGATAAAAGTAATTTTTACTTTACAATGAGATAGAAATAAAGTGGTCAGACCCGGTTTTCACTGTATTTGATGTCAGTGTCCTGCATCTTGTATATACACTTCTCTAATTTGGGGAGAGGAAGGGAAGAGGGGGAGGGTAGTTGTGGAGGTGGGAGGGAATGGGAGGGGAAAAACAAAGGAGGTAACAATGCTTGATAGGAAATGTACTCATTACCTGGCTCATGTAACTGTAACCCCTCTGTACAGTATTTTTACAATAAAAAAGTATTAAAAAAAAAGTGGTTAGAAAAAAATGCAGGTACTACTACTTTTCTTTTTTTTTTTTATTGTGAAAATACAGTACAGAGGGGTTACAATTACATGGGCAAGATAATGAGTACATTTCTTATCAAGCATTGTAGCCTCCTCCTTTGTTTCCTCTTCCCATCCCTTCCCATCCTCCCCCACCCCACCCCCCCCCCCCCCCTGCCACACACTAAAGTTGTAAAGTTCGTGAAAGCAGGGGTTATACTGTGGGGGAGGGACATACAAAGCAACAAAGAAATAATCTTATAAATGAGTTAGAAACAATCCCAAGGTACCACTACTTTTCTGAAAGGAAAAGTTGACTTTGCTTCCCAAGAACGTCCCATGATAAAACACTACCTGTGCAGGTAACACTCATGAACTCACCTGCAGTCTGCTGATGTTCTGACTGGCCATTTTCATCTCCTCTGTCAGTGCCTCCTTAGACTTCTCAGCTAACGCTAGTCTTTTAGAGAGTGCTCGGCACTGTAAGTGAGAAAAAAATTCTACTTGTAGAAGCAGCATTGTCTAAAACAAATTCTTTTTCAGGGAAAGTTACCAGAATTTGATCTCCAGAGCAAAAGCCATCCATCCATCCATCCATCCATTCCATCAATATTTCTTGAATACCTATAGGTACTGTATAGAAGAAAGCTGTGGACCTACCTCACCATTTTAGTAAAGTAAAAAAAGTCCAGCAGTTCAAGCTCATTAGTGTTTTTCCCTAGCTCTAGTCTAATGACCAGTGGTTACAAAACCATAAGAATATTCTCCATTTACTCAGCATTCATTTGTACTTAAGACAGATGAAAGGGATGTGTTCATTTCCAAAGTGATCAGTGTCACTACCAAACTCATTCTATGAAGCCAGCATAATCCTCAGCCCCAAATCAATTAGGAGAGATTCATCAAAGAAAGATAACTACAGACCCATCTCCTTGATAGCATCGATGCAAAACTTCTCAATAAAATTCTGGCCAACTGAATTCAACAACAAACCAAAAAAAAATCATATATTCTAATCAAACGGGATTCACTCCAGGGATGCAAAGCTGGTTGATTATATGTAAGTTAATTAATTTAATTCAACACATCAATAGGAGCGAGGTTAAGAACCACAGGATCATTTCAATAGATGCAGAAAAATCATTTGACAAGCTCCAACACCCCTTTATGATAAAAGTTCTGGAGAAGCTAGGAATCCATGGAACATTCCTCAATATAATACAGGCTATAGATGACAAACCAGCCAGTATTATACTTAATGGTGAAAAGTCAAAACCATTTCCTCTAAAATCAGGAATGAGACAGGATGTCCACTATCTACACTCCTCTTCAATATAGTACTGGAATTCCTACAAGAGCAACAAGGAAAGAGAAAAACATAAAAGAGATCCAAACAGGGAAGGAAGAAGTAAAACTGTCCCTCTTTGCAGATGTCATGATCCTGTATTTAAAGAACCCTATAGATTCCTCCTCCAATTTACATGAGTTGATCTAAAACTTTGGCAAAATACAGGATATAAAATTAACCACCCCAAATCAGTAGCTTTTCTGTATGCCAACAATAAGAAGATGGAGACTGAAATCAAGAAAGCAACTCCATGTGTAACAGCCTCAAAAAAAAATAAAATGAAATACCTAGGAATTAACCAAAAATGTGAAGGACCTCCATTATCAAAACTTTAAAAATCTGAACAAAGAGCCAGGTACTGGTAGCTCACGCCTGTAATCCTAGCCACTCAGGAGGCTGAGATCTGAGCATCGCTGTTCAAAGCCAGCCCGGGCAGGAAACTCCATGAGATTTTTACCTCCAATAAAAACCCACTAGAAAACCGGAAGTGACGCTGTGGTGCAAGCGGCAGAGCGCTGGTCTTGGCCTTGGGCTGAAAAGCGCAAGGACAGCGCCCAGGCCCAGAGCTCAAGTTCCATGACCACCACCAACAACAACAACAAATCTGAACAAGGAAATTGAAGCAGAATTAAGGAAATAGAAAAAAAAAATCTACATGCTCCTGGATTGAAAGGAGTAACATTGGGAAATAATTAAAAAACTCAGGGCAATATCCATCAAAATCCCAACAGCATTTTCAATGACAGAGAGAAAGCAATCCAAAAATTCATATGGAAAAAGACCCCAAATAGCAAAAACAATCCTTAGCAGAAAAAAGTGCTGGAGGAATATCAATATCAAATTTCAAACTCTATTACAAACAGCTTGGTACTGGCACAAGAATCGGCCTAAGGACCAATGGAACAGAAAAGAAGTCCCAGAAATAAACCCACACACGTATAGCCACCTAATATCTGATGAGGGAGCCAAAAACACAGGAAAGACAGCCTCTTCAATAAATGATGCTGGCAAAATTGATTATACACATGCAGAAAACTGAAATTCAATCCTTATATATCACCCTACACCAAAATCAATTCTAAATGAATCAAAGACCTCAATGCAAGGCCAGATACCATAAAAATATTACAGGATGGGAAATACTAGGGCTCCTAAGCACAGGTTAAAACTTCCTAAATAAAGATCCAAAATCACAACAAATCAAAGAAAGACTGGATAAATGGGACTGCATCAAACGGAAGAGTTTCTGCATGACAAAGGACATAGCTAGCAAGATAAAAAGAAAGCATACAGAAAGGGAGATTTTCACTAGCTATGTATCAGACAAGGGCCTCATATCTAAATATACTTAGAGCTCATATCTAAAATATACTTAGAGCTCAAAAAATTAAACCCCCCAAAAATAAACCCTCAAAGAAACAACAGCCCAATTAATAAATGGGTTAAAGACGTAAAGAGAGACTTCTCACAAGAAGTAAGAATGACCAATAGACATATGAAGAAATGTTCAATATCTCTTAGCCACAAAAGAAATGCAAATCAAAACAACATTGAGATTCCATCTCACCCCAGTTAGAATGGCCATTATCAAGAAAACTAACAATAACAGATGCTGGTTAGGATGTGGCCAAAAGAGAACAAACTACAACACTGTTGGTGAGAATGTAAACTTGTTCAACCACTCTGGAAAGCAACATGGAGGTTCCTCAAAAGACTAAATATAGAGCTTCCCTATGACCCAGCAATCCCACTGTTGGGCATTTATCCAATAGACCACAAACAAGGCCACACTAAAGCCAACAGAACAACCATGTTCAGTGCAGCATTGTTTACCATAGCCAAAATATGGAATCAACCCAGATGCCCCTCAGTGAATGAATGGATCAAGAAAATGTGATATATATATATATATTATATATATATATGTATGATTTCTATGCTTCCATCAGAAAGATATTGACCCATGCATAAAGAAATGGAAAGACTTGGAAAAAATCATATTAAGCAAACTAAGCCAGCCAAAGAAACATAGGTTGCATGGTTTCCCTCATCTGTAGTAATTACAATGTGCCTATAAATCTACAAGTAAACATAATGGATGGTAAAAGACAAAAAACAAAGAAACAAAAACAAAAAAAACTAAGCCAGGCACTGGTGGCTCACACCTGTAATCCTAGCTACTCAGGAGACTGAGATCTGAGGATTATTGTTCAAAGCCAGCCCAGGGAGGAAAGTCAGTGGGTCTTTTTAATTTTTTTATTTTTGGGGGGGGGGGGGTCCAGTCCTGGGGTCTGAACTCTGGGCCTAGGCGCTGTCCCTCAGCTCTTCAGCTCAAGGCTAACGCTCTACCACTTGAGCCACAGCGCCACTTCTGGCATTTTTCTTTTTGCTTATGTGGTGCTGAGGAATCGAACCCAGGGCTTCATGCATGCAAGGCAAGCGCTCTACCACTGAGCCACCTTCCCAGCCCAGTCAGTGAGTCTTTTATCTCCAATTATCCACCAGAAAACTGGAAGTGGTGCTGTGGCTCAAGTGGTAGAGTGCTTGCCTTGAACTGAAATGCTGAGGGATAGTGCCCAGGCCCAGAGTTCAAGTCCCACAACTGACAAAAGAAACAAACAACAACAACAAAAAAAAAAAACATAAAAAACTATACTTGGACATGATAAATTAAACAGGACTCTAAAAATTCACACAGTGAGGATATTCTTAGGAGAGGATCACAAAGGCTCAATAGCTATGTGCATATGATCATATAAAATGATATTTATCAAAATGAACTCCAAGAAGAGGTCTAACATTACTTTGCTTCTTGTATTTTTTTCACTGATTTTATTTTTGTCACTGATTTTATTTCTGTACATTTTGTTTTGTATGTGTTTATCTGTTTGGGGGAGGGTAAGGAAGAACACAGAAATGGTGGGAGAAAGGGTGAACAAATCCAACAGTAATACTCACTATACACTATACTGAACTATACACCTTGTGGGGGAGGGGGTCAGGAGGGAAAAACTGGGAGAAAATGAGGAAAGAGGTGACCCTGTTCAAAAAGAAATGTACTCTTTACCAGACTTATGTAACTATAACCCCTCTGTATATCACCTTTAAAATGACAATAAAGTAAAATGAAAATAAATAAATAAAAAATAAAGTGGCAGTTAAAAAAAAATAAGTAAAGCACAAGCTAAAGCCTTTTCCTCTCAGGAAAAAAAGAAGTTACCAGTGGCTTCTAACCATGAGTCTTAGATGTGTGTGTGTGTGTGTGTGTGTGTGTGTGTGTGTGTGTGTGTGTGTGTGTGTGTGTGTGTGTGTGTGTGTGTGTGTGTGTGTGTGTGCGTGCTCTCAAGGTTGGCACTCTACCACTTGAGCCAAAGCTCCACTCCACTTCCAGCGTTTTGCTGGCTAATTGGAGACAAGAGTCTCATGCACTTTCCTGCCCAACACAATCCTTGTGCTTGAAGTCCTTCATTAACATCACCTTATGGGCGCAATAAAAGCTTTATAAATCCCACTCGAGGTTACAGGGGACAGCACAGCTGTTTTCTCTGGAAACCATCCAGAGCCAGAGCAGATGAAAAATAAAAAAAGTTCTATTTCACACTCTTGTTCAAAGAGAGTGTGCAATAAAACAGACCCCAGACTTTCTGCAGGGGCACTGAGACCAAGGGGAAGGTGCTGACGAGACTCATGTGATCGTGGTGTGGACACCAGGCACTTAGCCTGTCCATTCCAGTAAAGTCATACAAGAGGTCACCACGTCCTGTTTACAAATGAGAAAAAAACTAAGCAATCACAAAATTCCTGTGTCACAGATGGACTGAATACATTCACTAAAATAAGCAAGTCTCTTGAAAATTCCCTGGCTACTCATTTTATTTTTCAAAACAATTTCAGGGCACATAAACCGATCAAATCAACCATTTGCTATTAACCAAATACCTACTCTGTGCTTAATTAGCCCTGCACCTGACCAAGTGGGAGAGAGTCAAGCAAGGCCCCCATGAAGACAACGCAAGTCTGGGTCACTGACCCAGAAATCAATCAGGGAAGCAAGGAAGCAATCGAGATGGATTGCATGCTGCACTGCATACCCTGGATAACCACGGACCTATCACTTGAATCAAGCACAAATGCTGTGGCTGCTGGTTAACCACCCGAGCTAGGCACATCATTTATTTTAGCAGGAAAGAGACAAAGCCCTTCCCCACTGCTAGCAAATGGCGCCTGTTGCCCTCTCTACCACGAAGTGTAGGAGACAATCGCAGATAGGCCGCAACAAAGGGTGTCATTCTTTTTTCTTTTTCAATTTTAAGCATCACAACTGTCTGCCATCTTTAACTAATCTTTAATATAAAGTTTCAAATCTGTAACTCTGAAGACCTTGCAAGCTGAACAGAACCCATTCTAACTCAGTCATTTTACCTCTTGTGGTACTGGGATTTCAGGGTAGGATCTTGTGCTTACTAGGCATGTCCTAGCCTTTTTTTTTTTTTGGTCGGTTGTGGGGCTTGAACTCTGGGCTTGGGCGCCATCTCTCCGCTCTTCAGCTCAAGGTAAGTACTCTACCACTTGAGCCACAGTGCCACTTCCGGTTTTCTATTGGTTTTTATTGGAGATAAGAGTCTCACGGAGTTTCCTGCCCGGGCTGGCTTGGAACCGTGGTCCTCGGATTTCAGCCTTCTGAGTGGCTAGGATTGCAGGCCTGAGCTACCAGCGCCTGGCTCAGCCTTTTTTTTTTTTTTTTTAGCTTATTTTCAGGGAGGATCTTGGGGTTTTGCGTAGGGCCAGTCTCAGAGCTTGATCCTCCTACATATGGCAGCCAGTAGCTGGTATGACAATTTAACTACCACACCCAATTTATTGAGAAAGATAGAGTCTTGCTAACTTTGATGCCCAGACTGGCCTTGAACTGCAATCCTCCAGATTTCTACCTCTGGTGTAGTTATGATTACAAGTTTGAGCCATAGCGCAGTACTTGGTCTAATGATTCATATTGTTTGATGTCTGCACTTCCTTCATTTTCCCCTTTCTAGTATTTTATAAGTTGTGTATAATTTTATTTATAGTGCTTTTTCTAACTCTCTGAACAAATTATTTGGTAAGAAAAAAAGAAAGCATAACAAAAAGATGTGGTATCTTTTGTTCAAAACGTTACACATTTTATTTTATCACATATAGGAATTAAGTTCTGCAAACCTGCCATTTAGAAAACGGAGAATATTTAGAAACACATTTTTTGCCTTTTACCTTGCTTATATTAAAAATTCTTCTCCCTGTAAATGTCTACTCATCTCTTAACTGGAAAGCAAGAAACCTTAAAAACAATGCTCCAAGCACATGGTATGCAAACTTCAGAAAGACTCCGCTAACTCTCCCAATGTTTTTGCAATGACTTGGAAATGACAAGCCAGTCTTACAGCTATTGAACTGGACATTTCTGGGTGGAATGCAGACTGATCACTGTGAACGGCAACCAACAGACACCAAGAGCAAACAGACACAAGTGTCTACCAGTGGACAACAGGGCAAGAGGACAGTGGCCCAGTTCCTGAAGGGCAGGGAAAGTACCAGCTGAACTGACCCCCCACTCACCTCAGCATAGAAATGCACTGACTTGCTGTCAGCCAGCTGCAGCTGTGATGTAAGCTCTACTATCCTTGCCATGTAGTGATTTTTAATTAAGTCTTCACGAGATTCCACATCTGGAACCTAAATAGAACACAAAGAAAAAGACAAATGCCAGGGAGATGAAGACATTCGGGGGTGGGGGGGGGGAGCCAAAAGGACAATAGAGTATACATTTTCACTTAAAAAGTGATAAGGAAACAGTTTGCTTAGCCCCCAAAGAAATGTCAGATGTGGCAGATAAACAGACAGCCCCAATTTCTCTGTGTGTGCGTGTGTGTGTGTGTGTTGGTCCTGAGGCTTGAACACTGGGATGGGGTGCTGTCCTTGAGCTTTTCTGCTCAAAATTTAAGCCACAGCTTCACTTCCAGCTTCTTGGTAGTTAAGGTTAAGAGTCTCGCAGACTTTCCTGCCTGAGCTAACTTTGAACCATGATCATCTTTGGATCTCAGTCTCCTGAGTAGCTACAATTACAAGTCTGAGCCACCAGTTCTGGACCCCAATTTCTTTTATCCTGCATTTGCTCATCTCAGAAAGAAGTCATGCCTACAGAATTTCTCAGAAGAGAACAGAGCTGGGGTGGGAGTATTGGAGTTCCCTGGGCCACAAACTTGTCAAATTCCATCTGTCCGACTCCTATGCCACCTTCTAATTAGAACAGGGAAGGGAAATGGGGGGGGGGGGGGCGATTTATTGGAATTCCTAAATTTTGAACATTCTTTTTTTTTCTTTAAAATTATCTTAAGAAAACTCTAATGCTTCTAAATTTACTAATAAACTACTTCTATACTAAATAGGTTTGCCCTCTGCTTCAGACTGGTATTTCTTCCAGTTATTTAGCAATGAAAGACATAGTATTAAGTTTAATTTAAAAATACCTAAGTTTGGGGCTGGGAAGGTGGCTCAAGGGTAGAGTGCTTGCCTTGCATGCATGAGGCCCTGTGTTTGATTCATCAGCACCACATAAGCATAAAAAGCCACTGTGGCTCAAGTGGTAGAGTGATAGCCTTGAGCTGAAGAACTGAGGGACAGCGCCCAGGCCCAGAGTTCAGGCCCTAGGACCGGCAAAAAAAAAAGAAAAAAGAAAGAAAGAAAAAAAAGAAAAGAGGGGCTGGGAAGGTGGCTCAGTGGTAGAGTGCTTGCCTTGCATGCATGAGGCCCTGGGTTCGATTCCCCAGCACCACATAAGCAAAAAGAAAAAAAGCCAGAAGTGGTGCTGTGGCTCAAGTGGTAGAGCACTAGCCTTGAGCTGAAGAGCTGAGGGACAGCGCCCAGGCCCAGAGTTCAGGCCCACGACCGGACCCAAAAAAAAAAAGAAAAGAAAAAAATTCAGTTAAAAAATACCTAAGTTCAAGGTTACCTATATTCTAAGTAGAATAGCCTACTATCTTTTTCAGTTTGCTAAAGCAAGTGATAAGGTGAATGACTTCAGTTTTTGTTAATTTATTGTTATTATTATCTTATTATTATTTATAAAGTCCTTAGAATACTTCAAAACCCAAATATGTAAAACTAGATGACAAACCAAATCTGCCCTGAGTTCACTGGCTACAAGCACAGTGCTCATTGGCCTGGAGGAACCCTGACTTCCTGGGCACCCATGGGGGAGGAAGAGTGTGGTCCTCTGCCTCACACAGCATGTAACCATGCTGGTAAGGGCCACACCTTGTCAACTTCCAGGACAAGCCATCCCACAAGGCAGATACAAAACAGGCTCGATGGAGCCTTCACTACTGTAACAGAAAATTTGTTCTTCATTTGCTAAAACTGCCCCCCCCCCCAAAAAAAAAGGAAGTGGACAAAAATGTCTTCCACAGGAGATAAACATGCTTCAAGATATTTACTAGCAAAGTTATGATGCTGAGGGCACATTACCTCACTCTCACACGTCCTGGTTAAAATCCCAATCTGGAAAACAAGGAGGAGAAATTATTAGAGCAGAATGTGTAAATGCAGACCCAAGGAGTTAACACTTCCTCTTCTCAGCCCACACTGGTTCAGATCACTGGAAATGCAGCTCTAGGACACCCAGTGCTGTCTTTCTCTATAAGATGCTGTACCTGTACCTAAGTAACCGCATTCACTAGTTCTGCCCTGAGGTAAAACCCAAAGGCCATTACCAAATGGGCCACCATTTTCACTGAAAGCCAACACAAAGTCCAGGAAGAGCAAGAGACAATCAGCCTTTAATCCTATCTTACCATCTCCACACTAATTACTAAGCAGGAGCTAGGAAAGTTGTAGACAGTTTTATGGAGACTATGACAATTAAACATTTTATACAGAAAACACAAACAACACACTGAGAGCTAAAAAGGAGAAGTACCACCTTTGATATAATATTGAAGCATTAATAAGCATTCATCTCAAATTTAAATAAAAAATAATGTTATTTTGTTTCATTTGGCAGTACTGGGGTTTGAATTCAGGGCAGGTGCTCTATCACTTGAGCCATGTCCACAGGCCTCAAAATTATGTAATTTTAAACAAATTATAGTATAGTTAGATTTTTTTTTCATTTTTTAAAATTTTTTGTGCCAGTCTGGGGCTTAAACTCAAGACCTGGGCGCTGTCTCTGAGCTTCTCTTGCTCAAGGCTAGCACCCTACCCCTTTAGCCACAGCTCCATTTCTGGGTTGGTTGGTTTGTTTTTCTAGTTAGTGGAGATAAGAATTTATCTTTATTATTGCTCAGGCTGGCTTCCTCAGATGTCAGCCTCCTGAGTAGCTAGTACCAGCATGAGCCATGGGTGCCTAGCTTAGATTTGTCTTTTTTAAAGATTTTCTGAATTAAGATTTCAGAAACAGTCATGATTACTATTTTCAGGATATTTTTCCAGGTGAAAGGGCAGGTGCTTGAGCATCATGACTTATAAAAACTACATTTCAATAGATTCTGCTAATCAGAGATGTCACCTAATACACAGTGTTCAAATACTCTAAATAATATGCTCAAGAGGATTATTCTGAAGAACAAACTATGTGTACTAATGAATATTATACTCACCTACTATTAAAGAGTTTATTAATTTTTTAAAAAATAGAAAAGCCATAATTTTCTACTCAATAAAGCAGGGATCGCATTTTCTTTCTCTCTCTCTCTCCCTCTCCCTCTCTCTCTCTCTCTCAAAAACTACTTATAATAACAAAGTAACCATCTAATTTCCCATATTCAATGATGGCCACATTTGCTTAAATAAACTTCAGACACTCATCTATTCTACCTCTTCTCTGGGACCGTTCCTCTTGAAGGAAAAGGTGTTAAGTAGAAGGAAATATTTGACCATATAGATTTGTAACAATTTTTCTCATGTGCTACTAACAACAATAACTGATATAGCCCTTTTAACAGAATTGGGCAAAAAAGAGCAAGGAATTTGAAAACATTCATTCCTTTGATTCAGTAACTCTAGCCCTAAGAAATATATCCCAAGGAAATTACTAATACATAAAGAATCTTAGGGGCTAGGAATGTGGCTTTTAGTGGTGGAGTACTTGCCTAGCTGCATGAGGCTCTGGGTTCAATTCCTTTGTACCACATTAAAAAAAAAAGAATATATGTCATTTAAGATAGTAAAAAGTATAATTAATGTCCAATCATAGGTAAAATAACATATATCATATATGGAATATTATGAACTCAATAACTAACAACCATGTGAAATTTTGTAGGAAAAAAATGTTAACTAGTAGATCAGTTATTCAAGATAATGTCATTTTTTCCTTCTTTAACCATCTGCATTTTGTATTTATCTACAACATAGATGTATTATATATATTTTGCATATGCTATAACATACCTATATCTTTTTTTTTTTTTTTTTGGGGGGGGGGGGTCCGGTCATGGGGCCTGAACTCTGGGCCTGGGCACTGTCTCTCAGCTCTTCAGCTCAAGGCTAGTGCTCTACCACTTGAGCCACAGTGCCACTTTTTGCTTATGTGGTGCTGAGGAATCGAACCCAGGGCCTCAGGCATGCAAGCCAAGCACTCTACCACTGAGCCACCTTCCCAGCCCCAACATATCTATATCTTAACATACATATTTTAAAGTTCTATTCAAGCTGTGTTTTTTTTTTGTTTTTTTTTTTTAAATTTTATTTTATTTTATTTGAGAACATACTGTACAGAGGGGTTACAATTACATGGTCAGGATAATGCATACATTTCTTACCAAGCATTGCAGCCTCCTCCTTTGTTTACCCTTCACCTCCCTTCCCAGCCTCCCCTCTCCCCCCCACCCAATCATACCCCCCCTCCCCCCCCCTCCGACATTGTAAAGCTGGTTTTGACATGAAATTTTGTACTTCTCATTGTTGCAACAGGTCCACCTGAATCCTTAAACGACTTGTTTGTCCCCATCTCCTCCACATGTTATACTGACATCAAATATAGTGAAAGCAGGGGTTACACTGTGGGGGAGGGACATACAAAGCAACCAAGAAATAATCTTATAAATGCGTTAGAAACACATGCATGAAAGAAACAAAAACATTAAAATACATATTTGAGGGTTCGTTTTCCTAACATCACATTCTCTGACTTTTTCCGCTTGACTCATACCTATACTAGATATTGCAAATAAGGGAAACCATGGGACCTATGTTTCTTTGAGCCTGGCTTACTTCACTTAATATAATTTTTTCCAAGCCTTTCCATTTCCTAACAAATGGGGCAATGTCATTTTTTCTGATGGAGGCATAGAATTCCATTGTGTATATATACCACATTTTCTTGATCCATTCATCTATTGAGGGGCATCTGGGTTGGTTCCATATCTTAGCTATGGTAAATAATGCTGCAATAAACATAGTTGTGCTGGTAGCTTTAGTGTGGTCTTTTTTGTAAACATTAGGGTAAATGCCCAAAAGTGGGATTGCTGGGTCATAGGGGAGCTCTATGTGGTGTCTTTTGAGGAACCTCCATACTACTTTCCAAAGTGGTTGAACAAGTTTACATTCCCACCAACAATGAAGTAAGGTTCCTTTCTGTCCACATCCCCTCCAGCATCTGTTGTTGTTAGAGTTCTTGATTTTTGCTGTTCTAACTGGAGTGAGGTGATATCTCAATGTTGTTTTGATTTGCATTTCTTTTATGGCTAGGGATGTTGAACATTTCTTCATGTGTCTATTGGCCATCCTTCTTTCTTCTTCAGAGAAGCTTCTCTTTAAGTCTTTCGCCCTCTTACTTATTGGGCAGTTGTTTCTTTGAGGATTTGTTGTTGAGTGGTTTAATTTTTTGAGTTCCAAGTATATTTTAGATATGAGGCCCTTGTCCGTTGTATGGCTAGTAAAGATCTTCTCCCAGTCCGTGGGCTTTCTATTGATCTTGCTAGCTATGTCATTTGCCCTGCAGAAGCTCTGCGACCTTATACAATCCCATTTGTCCAACCTTTCTTTGATTTGTTGTGTTTCCGGGTCTCTATTCAGAAAATTTCGGCCTGAGCCGAGGAGACCCAGGGTTTCTCCTATTCCATCCTGTAATGTTTTCAGAGTGTCTGCTTTGAGTTCAAGGTCTTTGATCCATTTGGAGTTGATTCTGGTGCAGGGTGATATATAAGGATCTAGCTTTAGTTTTCTACATGTAGTTAACCAGTTTTGCCAGCACCATTTACTGAAGAGGCTGTCTGTCTTCCATTCTATTGTTTTAGCTCCCTTATCGAAGATTAGATGGCTATAGGTCTGTAGGTTCATTTCTGGGTTTTCAATTCTATTCCATTGGTCCTGAGGTCTGTTCTTATGCCAATACCAAGCTGTTTTGATTACTATGGCTTTATAGTAGAGTTTGAAATTTGGTATTGATATTCCTCCAGCAGTGTTCTTTCCGTTGAGGAGCGTTTTTGCTATTCGGGGTCTTTTATTGTTCCATATGAATTTTTGGATTGCCTCTTCTATTTCCTTGAAGAATGAGGGTGGAATTTTGATAGGTATTGCGTTGAATTTGTAGATAGCCTTGGGAAGTATTGCCATTTTCACGATGTTAATCTTTCCAATCCAGGAGCATGGGAGGTTTTGCCATTTTTTAAGTTCTGTGTTGATTTCCTTTTTCAAGATTTTAAAGTTTTCATCATAGAGGTCCTTCACTTCTTTAGTTAAGTTAATTCCTAGGTATTTTATTTTTTGTGGGGCTATTACAAATGGAGTTGCTTTCCTAATTTCAGCCACACTTTTCTCATTGTTGGCATACAGAAAAGCCATTGATTTTTGGGGGTTAATTTTATAACCTGCTACTTTGCCAAAGTTTTGAATCAGCTTGAGTAATTTGGGAGTGGAGTCTATGGGATTCTTTAAATACAAGATCATGTCATCTGCAAAGAGGGAAAGTTTTATTTCTTCTTTCCCTATTTGGATCCCCTTTATGTCTGCATCTTGTCTTATTGCTGTAGCTAGGCATTCTAATACTAGATTGAAGAGAAGTGGAGAGAGTGGGCATCCTTGTCTTGTTCCTGAGTTAAGAGGAAATGGCTTTAATTTTTCACCATTGAGTATAATGCTGGCTGTAGGTTTGTCATACACAGCCTTTATTGTATTGAGGAATGTTCCATGGATTCCTAATTTTTCCAAAACCTTCATCAGGAAGGGGTGTTGGATCTTGTCGAATGCTTTTTCTGCGTCTATTGAGATAACCATGTGGTTCTTATTCTTGCTCCTGTTGATGTGATGAATAATATTAATTGATTTGCGTATATTGAACCAGCTTTGCATCCCTGAAATGAATCCTGTTTGATCGTGGTGTATGATTTTTTGGATGAATTGTTGAAGTCGGTTGGCCAAAATTTTGTTGAGAAGTTTTGCATCAATGTTCATCAAAGAAATGGGTCTATAGTTCTCTTTCTTTGATGAGTCCCTGCCTAGTTTTGGGATGAGGGTTATGATGGCTTCATAGAATGTGTTCGGTAGTGAGCTTTCTCTTTCAATTTCATTGAAGAGTTGGAGGAGAATTGGTGTGAGCTCTGCTTTGAAGGCCTTGTAAAATTCCGTCAAGCTGTGTTTTTTAATCAAAGTAAAATATAATCATTTACATTGTTATAATTTTCTTTTTTGAACTTGCAGTACTAGGGTTCTGGTTTTTGTTTTTGTCATGGTGCTTGAACTCAGGGCCTGGGTACTGTCCTTGCGCTTTTTTGCTCAAAGCTAGTATCCTACCACTTTAACCCACAGCTCTACTTCCAGTTTTCAGGTGGTTAGTTAGAGATAAGACTCTCACGGACTTTCCTGCCTGGGCTGACTTTGAACCACTATCCTTAGATCTCAGCCTTCTAAGTAGTTGAGCCATCAATGTCCTGCCAGTACTAGATATTTTAATAAAAATATAAACATTAACCAGGTGCCGGTGGCTCCTGTCTAAAATCCTAGCTACTCAGGAGGCTGAGATCTGAGGATCCAGGTTTGAAGTCAGCCAGGGCAGAAAAGTCCATGAGACTCTTTTATCTCCAACTAACCACCTGAAAGCTGGAAGTCGAGCTGTAGTCTCAAGTGGTAGAGTGCCAGCTTAGAGCAAAAAAGCTAAGGGACAGCGCACAGACTCTGAATTCAAGGCTCAGTACCAACACAAACAAACAATTAAATAAGAATATTTAACTTCTGAAATAGGCTTAGAAATAATAAGTAGGCTTAGAAATAGTTAAGTTTTTGTCTAATATTACTTTTTCCTGCCTTAAAATGCTTGAACCAAAATAATCTCCTTGTGGTTTGAAGGATGAATTTCCTTTGTTAGTCAATGAACTTTGAATTGGACAGATCTGCCCAAGAGAAATCGGACCAAGACCATGGTGTGTAGGCACACACACAGATACACACTTATCTCTCTGTGGTCTACCATGCACAGGGCACGGCTCCATTCAGGCCATGGTTAGCAGGAATCTGCCATGTGCAGGAAAGAGGACTGACTGCATGGTAACTTTTCTCACCGGAAATACTCTTAAGACAAGCCTTAGGCTACTGCTCATTTTAAACATGAACTTTTTGGCAAGGCGGTGTTGAGGTTTGAATTTAGGCAAATGTTCTACTACTTGCACCATAGCTCCTATACCTTTGTACTTTACGTTATTTTTCAGCTAGGTCTCTTGTTTTTTTGCCCTGCAGCTCTCAGACCTCAATCTTCCTACTTACACCTCCTATGTAGCTGGGATTCCACTAACTTTTACCCCGGGTGGCCTTGAACCACAGCATTCCCAATATCTGCCTTCTGCATAGTTGGCAGTACACATGAGCCACTGTAATAGCCTCCTGCTCATTTTAAAACCCATTTAAAAAATCTGTTGGAGAGAGGAATGGCGAGCAGATGTATTCACAATATTCAATGTGTGTTATGTGAAAACAGAACCAGGTAACTCGAGGGGTTGGGAGGGATGGGGAGCAGAAAGGGATAACACTGATCAAGGTGCACTGTACTCATAAACTGACAGCTGAACTGAAACACCTTTGTAAAACTATTTAATTAAAAAATAATTTACATTTTGGGCTCAATAGCTATGTGCATATGATCATATAAAATAATGCTTATCAAAATGTAGGGTTTTTTTATTGTACTGTTTATGGTTCTTTTCTTTTTTTCCTTCTTTCCTTTTTTTCTTTTGGTTTATTCCCTTCGGTCCCTGTTTTTGATTTCTATACCTTTGTCCTGTATGTAAGTTTATCTGATATGGGGAGGCTTGGAGGGGAAGCACAGAAACAGTGGGACAAAGAGTAAACCATTCAGCAGTGAAACCCACTAGATACTTTGTTGGAAATGAGCTACCTAACTTGGGGGCGGGGGTGGGGGGGGGGAGCCAGGAGGGGGAAAAACTGGGAGAAAATGGGGGTGTGTGTGACACTATCCAAAAAGAAATATATTCATTACCTAAGTTATATAACTATAACCAGTCTGTACATCACTTTTACAATAAAATTTTTAAAACTGAATAACTGATTTATGACCTGTGTGCATATATATTTTTTCCTGAACATCTGAAAGTAAAGTTATAGGTGTTAAAATAACTCACCCTAAATGCTCAGATGTTTATCTCCAAGAAAAAAAAAGGGAGGAATAGTCTCTTCAATATAGTACCATAACCACTCCTAGGAAAATGAACCATCATCTGAGATCTGACAATGTTAAAACACAATGAGGCTGATACACATTTTGGAAATAAAAGCCAGCCTGGACATTTTACTACGAGGAACACTCTAATACAAGAAGGACCAGACCTGTTCCTCACTAGCATCAGTGAGCCACGAGAAGTCAGCAGAATAGATACACTTGAGCAAAGAGATTTCAGTAAACATCAGGCTTTCTTTAGACTTATCAAGAAACACTTGGAAAAATACCCCTAAAAATTTCTTTCAAGGGGCTGGGAAGGTAGCTCAGTGGTAGAGTGCTTGCCTTGCATGCATGAGGCCCTGGGTTCGATTCCTTAGTACCACATAAGCAGAAAAAGCTGGAAGTGGTGCTGTGGCTCAAGTGGTAGGGCGCTGGCCTTGAGCTGAAGAGCTGAGGGACAGCGCCCAGGCCCAGAGTTCAGGCCCCATGACCAGCAAAAAAAAAAAAAAAAAATTTTCTTTCAAACTTTTCCCTAATTTCTTCCTTTGCAGATTTTCCTAATTTTTTTAAAGCAGGCAGAATACTATCATTAGAAAACTTTATTACAAAATAATAATAATTACAATAATAATTACAAAGTGCCAATAGAGATGTTTCTTTTTTAATTTATTTTTTATTTTAATTTTCTTGTCAAAGTGATATAGAGGAGTTACTGTTACATAAGTAAGGTAGTGAGTATATTTCACGTCTAACTTCTTACCCCCTCCCTCATTTTTCTCCCTCTTTCCCTCCCCTTTACAATTCCCCCCCAAGTTGTACAGATCATTTTTCAACATATTGTCTTGTGAATATCGCTGTTGCATTGGTTTCCCTGTTGTCCTTTATCTCACCATGTTGTTATTCCCCTTCCCTTCCCAATTCTTAAACATATATACAATACCAGGGTACCAAAATCAAATACAGTGACAACAGGGGATAAACCATAGCGGGGAAAAAACACAAACGAAAAAAGAAATCACCCGATGTTACTGCTAAGCTGAGCACCAGTGGCTCATGCCTATATTCCCAGCTTCTCAAGAGGCTAGATCTGAGGATCATGGTTCAAAACCAGCCTGGGCAGCAAAGCCTGTGAGATTCTTATCTCCAATTAACCAAACACACAAAAAAATGTGGAAAGTAGAGTTATGGTTCTCCTAGGCCCTGAGTTCAAGCCCCCAGACTAGCACAAAAAGCAATAAAAATAAGGCAAGAAATTTCAACTTATAAGGTAGTTTGCCAATGTACTATCTTATAAAAGAACTAGCTGGTGGATTTCTATATGATATGTATAGAATAGAGCTTTATACTTTCTATATGATATGTATATAATAGAGCTTTATACTTTCTAAAATACATTATATATGGTTAAAAATGGTGTTAGTGGCTAGGTTCAAACCTGTGATCCCAGCTACTTGGTAGGCTAAGAATGGGAGGACTGAAGTTTGAGGCCAGGCAGGGCAGAAAAAGTCATGAGACCCCCCTTACTGAATGCCATGGCACATTCCTATCACCCTAAGCTAGAGGGGAGGTTACAATTGAGGGGAACACTTGAGACTTGACTTAATAAGCTAGACAAGGTGGTACACACTTGTGGTCCCAGCAATGACAAGAAGCCTAAAATAGGTTAAATGGTCCAGGTACAGGCCTGGGTGTGAGCCTAGGAAGAAAGCAAAAGACTACCTTAAAAGTAACCAGCAAAAACTAGAGCTGGAGGTGTGGCTCAGCAGTACACTACCTGCCTAGCAAGTGTGAGGTCAAGTTCAAACGTCAGTGTTTCCTCAAAAAAAAAAAAAGATATCAGTGGTAATTTCAATAAGAAGTTAGATATTTGGACCTTGGCTAGAAACATAACCAATGTTATAAGTTTTTTTCACGGAGAAAAAGAATCATCTTAAATTCAACTTTTTCTATCTTTTCCAGAAACACAGCCCTCACTATGGAGTCTCATCAAATCTCAGGGAGTTTAGTGGAGTTACTTTTGAATGGTATGCCCTACCTTTTCTTGGAATGCATGAGTCATTCTTGTTATAAACTGGCGTGTAATTTAGGTGATTGCTATCATCAGAATGTCTGTTTTCCTAAAATTCCTACATTGAAATCCTGAGCTCCAAAGGTAATAATATTAAGAGGAGAAACCCTCGTGTGGTGATCTAATGGTTTCCTACAAAGGAGATCCAGAGAACTATTCACCCTTTCTGCATGTGAGAACACAGTGTGAGTGGCCGTCCATGAGTCAGGAAACACACCCTCACTGGACTCCAAATGTGCAGGCACTTTGACCTGCACGTGCCAGCCTCCAGAACTGTGCAAAATAAAATTCTGCTGTTTTAAGGCACCCAGTTTGTTATAGGAATTGGAAGGGACTAAGACAATGACTAATGCTGGACACTAGGTTAGATCTTATCGATCAGTATTAAAGTAAGGAAACTGCTGGCAAAGATAAGCCGGAAGATACTCACCAGACTGGTGCTCTGCATGGGCTCTGACACAGCCTTAGCTGCAAACTCCTCCTGGCCAGCAGTACTTGGAGCTGTAGCAGCATTATCCTGGGCCAGCCCAGCCACCTGCCCACTGCTTGCATTCTTCAACTTATCTGCAATCCGTTGGTTTTCTTTCTCTAGCTTGATTTTGGCTAATTGTGCTTCCAACATCCAATGCTCTTTTTCCTGCTCCAGTTTAGAAATCTTTTCCAAACTCTGTTGAACCTTAAAAAGTAACAAAGAGTTTTACATCTCAGAGAATAAAGGAGACAAAATTAGTTTACAGAATGTAAGCCATAACTACTTCACAGAGGTGAAGACATTAAAGCTTGACCTTTCTTGCACTACAATTATTAAGCAGAATAGAAGAGACATAATCATAAATAAAGAAATAGAACTAAAGTACAAAAATAATCCCTCATCATTAAGGGACAGAAAAAAAGCAGAGAGCAAAAAGGAAAGGCAAAGAGTAGAAAAAGAATCTCTAATGCATTCAACAGATACATTAAAAGCGAGAACAGATAAAGAATTCTTTAGTTTCATGTATCCAGAGAGGGATTTAGCATGAATTCTCCGGAGAAGCCCCCAGGACACAAATCAGGACTCTCTGATCCCATCTCCTGCTTGCAATGCAGAGACGTTTCCCTTTCCCTTTCCCTAGTTCTTTCTACTCTATCTTTATTTCCTGAAGTAAATCCTTGCTGAATTAAAAGAAATAAGAATTCTGTATTTCTCCTGTACTAATAACCAGAATTCCATAAGCATTCTTGAGAAGCAATAAACAAAGATAGATACCCAAACTGAAAAATAGGCACTAGGACAAGACAATAAAATAAAGAGAAGGTGCTCACTAATTATTAAGAAAAAGCAAATTAAACCACTCAGTTGATTCAAATTCAAAAGACAGAAAACACTAAGGTGAGAATGTTTGTGAAAAAGAACTTTTATTCAGAGTGCCAATGTTAGATTTGAAAGAATATATGCAACATAATTTCTTAGGAAATAAAATACTCTAGTGTTGGAATGCAAAATAAAGTTGCATTTAGGAGAGAAGAGAGAAGAATATAGTAACTGGAAAGGGGCATAGGGAAGGCATAACTTGCTCACTCATGTGTTCTCTCTCTCCTTTCCTACTTCCCTCCCTGCCTTTCTCCCTCCTTCCTCAGCTTTTTCCACTCAAGGCTGGTGTTCTACCACTTAGGCCACAGCTTTACTTTCAGTGTTTTGCTGGTTCATTGGAGATAAGAATCTCACACTCTCCTGCGCAGGCTGGCTTTGAACCTCAATCCTCAGATCTCAGCCTGCAACTAGGATTATAAGCATGAGCCATTAGCACCAGGCTCCTAATAATTTTTTCCAAGACTACCTGCTCTGCTCTTTTTGAATCTAGTTATATTAATGTTCACTTGTAAAAATTAGTAATTTGCATGCTTTCCTTTAAGTATGTTATGCTTTAATAAGTTTTAAAAGTCAATGTTCTGGGAAAATAAAAGCATGAGAATTACATTAAAATAATAGCAACTATACAATGAATTCTAATGATTTACCATTATCCCGATTGAGTAATTACCATGTACCAGGCAGTATGTGACACCTTACTCCTATTATCCCAAAAGAGCATCTTAATAGGCCTATGATTCTTATTTCTACAGAGGAGAGCAAAGGTTCCCAGCAGCTACACCATCTGCTAAACTAGAGAACTCAGAGCCAGGAGCTGGGACCCCCATCTGCCTGGCTCACAGGTTGGCTTCTTTCTGCTGTACCACAGTGCCTCCCACTGGCTGGAAGCAGTCTTGCATGACTCTGAAAAGGTGGGTAATAACCTTTTCCTTTAAAGAGGCAGGAAGGGAGGCCCAGAGTGTCCAGGACACAGGCCCCTTCTAGTCCGTGGCATCAGGAAAGCATTAGCTCTGAGGTCAGACAGGTCTGCCAGTCAGTAGCTCATTTAGGCAAAATTTACTTCATTTCCTTTAGTCTTACTTCCCTTACATTAAGAAAGAAAATACAAAAAAAAAAAATTCTTAAGGTATTGTACCTCTTATTAGTTCTGAGAAATTTGTTTTTCAGGATTTCCTTTCTGGATTAAATTTTTATCTCAACATTCTGGTGCATTAAGGTTAAAGAGATAAGTGATGTACTTTCAATGGAAATAGGTCAGCTTCAACAAAACATTTCTTCCACTCTCTCTCTTCCCTCTCCCATTCCTCCCTCCCCATCTTTTTTTTTTTTAAAAAAAAAAAGGAGAATTCTGAAAATTAAACATAAGCTATTAAACTGAGTAAGTCTCTGATAAGATTTAAACTGGTATCAATCTGTACCAATTCCTAGAAGGAAAAGTACCTCCCACCCCAATCTGCCCCCCAATTCAACTGATAACCAAATATAGGAAATTTCCCATTCCTACTCATTTATGAAATGAAATGACTTGACAAATCTCTTGCTCCTCTCCTCTTTATTACCTTAGTATTTTTGGAATTTAAAACTGGTACCCAGAGTGTCCTGTACTAGAAGCAAAAAATGTTTCTCCCCTTTTTCCCCCATTTATATTATACGAAAATAAGTCCATGCTAAACTAAATATATATATATGTATATATATGCCTACAGATATAATCATCATGGTCAAAATGTGTTATTACTCAGCCACCATCTGTAGCACCAACTGAATCAAGAAGACTTATTTAGAGCATCAACACACACATTTCTCAACAAATTATGTCTACAGTCTTTTTTTAGTCTGCATAGAATAATGAATTTTTCATGTTACACATTTATCTATGTAGTTTTTTGAGTCACTTATGTTCTCTAGATACCTCCCCGGGGCAGTTAACATTTCTGCTATTTAATAAGTTGCATGACTTTCCAGGCACCATACCTGCTGTGCGAGGCCTTCTCGACTTTCCGTGGAGCTGAGAAGGACCCGGCGGTTGGCCAGGGCTTCCTCATAAGGCACAGACTCCAGGACCGGCTACAGAAAAAGCATTGTTAAGAATTAAAGAAAAGACCATCTTACCCTTCCTCCAAGCCCACATAACAAGACTACTCAATGGGGTGTGAAAATTAATCTAGCTGTATACGGACACAGACTAGCTCCTTTAATACAAAAAGAAAAGAATGATAGAGAACTTGTTACAGCAATTAAAAGCTACACTAACTAAAACCGTATGGTCTTGCTCCAAAGTACAGATAAAGGAAAGAACAGAAAATTCAGAAACAGGAAAGGGCAAATATAAAATCTATTCTAGAACAAATATTACATTTATTATCCAATGAAGAAACAAATAGACTGGGTAAATGATGCAAGAGCAATCAGCTTATCTTTTTTTTAATTTTTAAAAATATCTTTATTTTTGTCGATCGTGGGGCCTGAACTCTGGGCCTAAGTGCTGTCCCTCAGCTCTTCAGCTCAAGGCTAGCGCCCTACCACTTGAGCCACAGCACCACTGCCAGCTTTTTTCTGCTTATGTGGTGCTGAGGAATTGAACCCATGCATGCGAGGCAAGCACTCTACCACTGAGGCAACTTCCCAGCCCCCATTTTATTTTTTTTGTGATGATGTTAAGTGGGTTTGAACTCAGCACTTTATGCTTGCTAGGCAGGTACTCTACCACTGAGCTATACCTGCAGACCTTGTTTGTACAGACCAGGTCCATGCCTGATCCATGATACTTCTATTTTTCTTTTCCCTTTTCAGTTAAGCATTCACCACAATATATAGCTACCAGTTGAGGAGTCTCCTATATATGTCTTGGCTGTCCTGAAACTATAATCCTCCAGGTCTCAGCCTCTCATAAAATACATACATTTCTACACTTTGCTCAAGAGGAATACAGTGGGTGCTACATATTCAATGATAGAGCAGATTGCTGAGACACTCAAAATGTTTATCAGGTTAACAAAAGAAAAAAAGCTTTGGAGGCCACTGGCTCATGCCTGTAGACTTAGGAGGTCAAAATCTAAGGATCTCAGTTTGAAGCCATCCCAGAGAAACAAATCTAAGACTCTCTTACCACAAATTAACCAGCAAAAAGCCAGAAGGGCTCAAGTGACTGCCTTCATCAAAAAAAGACAAGCGAGAGTGTATGAGGTTTGAATTCAAGCCCCACTACCAGCACATACACACATACCTCCCCCCCAAAAAAACAAAAAAGAAACAATTCCAGCTGGACTCCAGTGGCTCATGCCTATAATCCTAGCTACTAAGGAGGCTGAGGATTGCAGTTTGAAGCCAGCCCAGGAAAGAAAGTCTGTGAAACTCTGAGCTCCAATTAAACACACACACACACACACACACACACACACACACACACACTTCTGTATTTTGTCTATGGTTTATACAGATGGCTATAATTGCTTAGAGACTGGAAGCTTACATACCAAACTGATATATAGGTAGAAACTAAAATCCAGAGTTACTATCTATAATATTCTAATTTTGTAATTAAAGCCTTAGATGAAGAGGTGAGTAAAAGTGAAATGTAAAAGTTGTATGTTTAATAATACTCATTACAGGGCTGGGAGTGTAGCTTAATGGTAGAGTGCTTGCCTCGCATGCATGAAGCCCTGGGTTTGATTCCTCAGTACCACATAATCAGAAAAAGCTGGAAGTGGCGCTGTGGCTCAAGTGATAGAGTGCTTACCTTGAGCTGAAGAGCTCAGGGACAGCGCCCAGGCCCAGAGTTCAAACCCCATGACCAACAGCAACAACAACAAAAAGAATAACCATTGCAGCCAGGCACCAGTGGCTCTGCTCTGTAATCTACTCAGGAAGCTAAGATCTGAGGATTGCTGTTTGACAGGAAAATCTATGAGACTCTACAAAGTCCATGAGACTCTACCAATTTAACTACCCAAAAAGCTGCAGCTCAAGAGGTACAGCACTTGCTTTGAGCAAAAAAGCTCAGGGACCGTGTCCATGCCCTGAGTTCAACCCCAGACTAGTACATACACGGAAAAAGAACACCCATTGCAGTGCTGCATATAACTGAGAATAGACGTCTTATATATCAACAATGAAATGGTTAAGTTATTCACGTTATACAACAAAACACTATGAGAGCATTATAAATATGACTATAGTAGAGCGTGGTGAAGCATGCCTGTAAGCCTAGCTACTTGAGAAGCTAAGAAGTACAACTTTAAGCACAGCCTAGATAGTAAAGCCAGGCCCCATCTCAAAAAAAAGAATGATTAGACATATATTTATATATATATATATATATATATATATATATATATAGGTATATTCCCAATGTATTAAGAGGAAAAAAGATTATAGATCTATGTTTCTTTCTGCTAGATATATTTTGCTTTGATAGCTTGTATATATGCTTATATACCTTGAGAGTTGTTTATATGTAGAAATATTCTAACAAGGTTAAGAATAACACATTTGAGTGGTAGGATTTTGAATGATCAGAACTTTCTTTTAATGTACTGCTGTTATCTTTTGACTTTAGTGTGTATGTGTCAGTACTGGTGCCTGAGCTCAAGACTTAGGTGCTGTCCCTTTGTTTTTTTGCTCAAGGCTAGCATTCTACTACTTGAGCCACAGCTCCACTTCTGGCTTTTTGGTGATTAAATGGAGATAAGAGTCTCATGGACCTTCCTGCCTGGACTGGCTTTGAACTGTGATCCTCAGATCTCAGCCTCTTAAGGATGATTTATTAAAATTTACAAACAAATTTCAATTTTTTTGTTAAGATTTCTGAAGTTCTATTTTTACTGCCTGCTGGCCTACCTTACTACAGGCTCTCTACTGGCACTAGGGACATGAATCTGCTTCTCACCAAAGGTGTGAGTTTCTATTGCCTTTTTTCCAAAGATCGTCTACCAATCTCCTGAATCCCCAAATTATACCAAGTCTAAATGATATGGACTGTGGGGGGAAAACCCCACCATTCTCTGGGACTAGTTATGATTGCTTTAAGTTAAGTGTGGATGGCAGCTTACAAACCTTTCTCAAAGCCTTCATGTAGGCAGCAGCCTTCTTCTTATACTGCAGCATGCATTCCGCAGAGAGAGGATTGATGAACCCACTCGCCGCCTTGGGCCCATAGCTCAGTGAAGTGATAAAGTAGTCCACGTTGTTGCCAAAGAAAGATGCAATCTAAACACAGCATAATAATAATAATAAAGGCTTGTTCTCCAACGGTAATCTCAAACATAGCTAACTATCTATCCATCTATCTATCTATCTATCTATCTATCTATCTATCTATCTATCTATCTATCTATCTATCAGGTTTCAGAACTGTTTAGAATTTCAATACCTGCTTAAAAAAACCTGTGTTTACCTAGAATACTGTGGCGAAATATTTTTTTTTAAGAGAGGATCATAAATAACTGAGAATCGACTTCTGAACTGTCCTTCTCTAGACTGTTCTGTTCTTAAAAGCCAAGACTGATTCTAATTTACTCTACAGCTTTTCCATGAGCATTCATGAGCTATTTACATCATTAATTTCTGCAGTAATGTCAAATACCCCTGTAGGGACTTACCCATTTCATTTGCATTTAACTTCGAATTTTCACATTTCAATAGAAGACATAACATAAACATCTTGAATATGTAGTTTCTACCCAAAATTAATTCTTTAAATCTCAATTTGTAAAATATATATAGAAAAAAGACTAAGATTTCAGTGGATTGTCATTTATAGACTGAGCACTTGTTAAATCTATATAGGCAGCCATAAAGATCCACAACTATAATTTTTCTGAACCACAATTGCATGTCTACAGTGTTATATGAAACGGTGATATAAATTAAAATATCTGCTTAAAGGTTCTAGCCAGAAAAATAAGTCTGATATATTAAAGCCTCCTGAGTGCTGCAATTACAGGTATACACCTCCATGCCTAGCTCTAAAGATTGTTTTTCACTAATGCTTTATATTATGTAAATAAAAGTCTGTTAGGTAGTACTCAAAGAAAATAGTTATTCTGAGCTAAGGCAAGGTGCCAGTGGCTCACATCTATAGTCTTAGCTACTCAAGAGGCTGAGATCTGAGGATCGAGGTTCAAAGCTAGCCTGGGCAGAAAAATCTGAGACTCTTATCTCTAATAAATTACAAAACACACACACACAAGTAGAGCTGTGGCTCAAGTGGTAGAGAGCTAGCCTTGAGCAAAAGAAGCCCAGGTACAGCACCCAGGCCTGAGTTCAAACTCTAGGACCAGCTAAAAAAATCTTGAGCTATTTTTTTGCTTGTGAATAATAAGACTATACCCCTTATCTATACACAGATCGTGGAATACATTTTCCAAACTTTCTTTAATAGGTATATGCTATGCCTTCCTGCTGTTAAATTATAAACTATCAAATTTAGTTTAATCAAAGCATATTAGCTAAGTATGAAGCTGTTGTCAACCAACAGTTCAAATATTTCATTAGTCAAAAATATTTATAAAAATTCCCAAGTGAAGATCAGGTACACTTCCATGAGGCACTGTATTAACATTTAACTTTTTTTTTTCTTTTGGTCAGTCACAGGGCTTGAACTCTGAGCACTGTCCCTCAGCTCTTCAGCTCAAGGATAGTGCTCTACCACTTAAGCCACAGTGCCACTTCCAATTTTTCTGGTGGTTTATTGGAGATAAGAGTCTCATTGACTTTCCTGCCTGGGCTTGCTTTGAACCGCGATCCTCAGATCTCAGCGTCCTGAGTAGTTAGGATTATAGGCATGAGCCACTGGTGCCCGGCTTACAGTTAAAAATTTTTAAAAGCTAAAATAAACTATGAGCATATAGGTTCACAGAAAAAGCAGCAAGTGTAGCAATTCCAATAAAATATTAACATTCTCCTAAGTGAACAAATATTATCCATAGGAAGCTTCTGGCACACTGTTAATGAAAAGAGTGGAAAGGAGGCTCACTGATCTATTATGAGCCCATAGAACCTAAAGTTAACATGTGTTAATTATGGATTAACACTACAGCAGTCACAAAGACCAGTCCAGTTCAAGTAAGCTGACAATGAATGTCTAGCATGACCTGTGATCATTCTGATTGACTTAAACCACTTGAAATTGTTACAATTATGGTTAACCTATCAGACAGGAAAATGATATACATCGTGGTCTGGGTTTTCTACAATGGGGAGCTCTGAAAGAAAGCTACCTTAAGGAGATGTTGAAAGTGTGACTCTGAGTGTATGAGCGCTGCAGAAACCACAACACACAGGATCAAAGGATGGGTAAGAAACCGCTTTAGTTTATAATAATCCAGTGCTTAATGATCCACATGTTCATTGCTAATACTCAAGGATCAACGAAAGATACGTATGAATGCCACTTTAAAAGGAATTACTAAGTTACAAAATTACAGAGGCAGTATCATCACAAGTGTTACCAGAAAAAAAAAAAAACTAAGAGTTGGAAAAACACCTAAAATATTAAGAGGTTGTACTGGACTTGTGCTTTTCTTCTTCTGTATCCTCTCATTATTTTCCATAACAGACTAACATAAGCAAGGATCTATCTTGAGAACATGTAGAATCCTCAAATCATCCAATCTTATGCTGAAATACAAAATGACTAATCTGCTCACTTATCACAAATCTACCACACTGTTTGAAAAATTGAGTAGATGATTGAACCTGAAGGTGAAAACAATTAAAAATGCATTGCCTAAGAAAGAGGAAAAAAGAGATCCCATTATTTTATAAACATCAAAAAAAAATTTCCACAATCCTTAGACAGACCAATTTTACTATTTTTTAAAAGGAACATTTTTAAGAATTGAAGTTAAGGTCAATACAAGCCAGAGGATAAGTACCTTTCCTGCTCCATTTGTTAATGCTACTACTGATGACAGGATGCAGTCATTAGTTGTTATCAGCTTCTGTGTTGCTGTTGGAAGTTCGTGCTCTATTGTAGTTTTTTGGTTATAATGTTTGGAAATATCTATAAAAACAATGAAATCAAAGCTCACTACTTGTATACACTATTTATACATGTTGCATATAGATGACCAGGCCACTCCTCATATCTATTCTTACAGATTTATAAAGTAAATGTGACAAAGAATAGCTCCTAAATAACACTTCACAAATCCAGGTAGAAAGGACAGTCGGTGAATATATATAAGATACAGTTGACAAGCAGGTTCTAGATGCTTCTTATGTTTTATACAAAATAATCTTAAACTTTAAAAACTATTTCCTGTGAAATTTGACACTGTGAATTAAACATCACAATGAATCATCTAGACACCTGGACTATTTCCAATACCACTAGCAATTGTTCTTACCTATTCTCCTTCCCCGAACAGTCTCTAAAAGAAAGAGAGGAAAAGGGGTGGTGGAATCTAAAAGCAAGACAGAGCTATAGATTATTTGGTTAAGACTCAGAATCACAAGCTAAGAAAGAAGCATAAAAAATGCCTTAAAAAAAAAATTCCCCTGCTGGACGCTGGTGGCTCACGCCTGTAATCCTCACTACTCAGGAGGCTGTGATCTGAGGATCATGGTTCAAAGCCAGCCCAGGCAGGAAAGTCTATGAGACCATTATCTCCAATAAACCATCAGAAAACCAGAATTGGCACTGTGGTTCAAGTGGTAGAGCACTAGCCTTGCGCTGAAAAGTTGAGGGACAGCACCCAGGCCCAGAGTTCGAATCCTTTGGAAGACTATGACTATATTCTTAAGTGAACAAAATCAATTAAAACAGATCAAGGTTTAATATACAGACTTTCATCACTCGGGATGGTGCAAAGACAGTATACTTGTTCTGGGAATGCTGGTCTGGCTTCCTTGATCCCTTCAAGCTTAGCCTCTAACAAGCGTAAGGAGTTTTGCTAAGGGCCTCAGAATGGCATGGCTTTACATACCTGCCCTTAATCAGTGGTATGAGTTTCTGGCACAGGTCCTGTGCATGAAGACTCCTCCTTAGCACTGTTTACTTTCAGAAATGAAACAGATGGGAACAGCAGAAGGCAGACCACAAAGCCAAAGGCTACTGAGCCTTTTTCAGGTCTATAATCCTTGGCAGTGTTTGTTCAAATTTCAACATGCAAGGCTCACCTTTCATGATGTCATGAAATCCATTCAGAGCAGCACCAACATTTGTTAAGACAGAACTGTAGTTGGTCCGAAGAAGTCCATCTGGCTCTGTACCTAGAAAACCCAAGTCATGAACCTCAGCATTGTCCTGCAAAGTTGACCACCCTCTTCCTCCCTCTATTTTTAGGAAGAATGACTGCCTGTAGCATGTTGGAAACAGAGGTTTTTATACCCTTTGCTGATACATTCACATGTAATGATAACAAACACAGGCACATCAAATGCAGATATGTGTAATGGCTAAGACACCAAACAACTTTGCTAAGCAGGAACAGATCTTTTTGGAATGAAAACCTCATGAATTATCAACTCATGGTTAGATAACCAATTTTTCATTTTTTCATTCCCTAAACATTACTTGTATATTAAGCACCATTACAGCAATACTATCCAAACACCATGAGACCCTAGGTCTTCCCCAATAGTATAAGGAGCTTCGCATATCTGTCCCCCAGCAACATGGTAATCATTACAAAGGAAAAATAATCACTTGAACTTTCTAGAAATGGTTATACAGTTACAAATAAATTAGTATTTATTCCAGAATATCTATAACTCAGCAAGAACAGTAGGTCAGGAGCATATGAACCAAGACTTCCTTCTTCCCCTACCAGCTCAATGAAACAGAAACCCCACTCCCAACAAGAATAGCCAAACAGAGGACTCCCTCCTCTCTACCATCTAGGAGGCATTTTTCATTTTTGTCCCCAGTTTTTTGCTGCCAAGGCTAAGTTCTGAGTAACAAAGTCCAAAAGGAGGATGAGGAGGTCCTTTCTTTCACCCATCCCTCACTCCAGAGATGGAGGCTCTACCTTGATCATATGCTGCTTAGAATACCTGAGCCCTAGCACCCTTTGCTCTAGCCTGTCAATATGGGTTCTATGTTGAAAAAAGCAGACCAAGAAGACTGGAGGATGTTTCCCATTTCCTCCCATCAAACACTTAGCTCCTAATAGGGAGGTATCACTAGGAGAGAAGTGCAGCAACACCAGAACCATGTCTCAAAGAGTTAGCTCCTGAGAGACAACTCTAGAGCAAGAGCTGAGTCTCTTTGCACAGGAACTGACTTCACTTGCAATACTATGTGGAGAACTTAAAGCTTGTGGCTTTTAAAAAATAAAGTCTATGGTAAAAGCATAAAGGAAGCTGACCCATTCATTAGAGATAGAAACTAGACTATAGGCTAGGATGTCACTGAGAAGCAGCAAAGAAAACAGCTACCAGCCCTCCTGGGATCCAAACAAATTGTACTTCAACCACTAGAAGCCAAGCATGTTGATGCAAACCTGTCACCCCAGTATTTCTGAGGCTGGAAGCAGGAAGATAGCAAGTTTGAGACCATCTGGGGGTACATAGTGAAATCCTCAAAAAAATAAAAAAGAGGAAGGCATCAGACACCCATGGCTAATGCCTGAAATCCTAGCTACTCAGGAGGCTGAGATCTGACAATCTCAGTTTAAACCAGCCAGGGCAGATACGTTTGAGAGACTCTTACCAACAATTAAGCACCAACAATGAAGCCAGAATAAGTGGTAGAGTGCTAGCCTTGAGCAAAAAAAGCTCAGGGACAGTGCCCAGCCCCTGAGTTCAAGCACCAGGGCACGCACACACACACACACACACACACACACACACACACACACACACACACACACACACACACACACACACACACACACACACACAAAAGACAAAGGGAAATAATATTTAATGCATAGTAAATGTTTAATATTTTACATTTTTAACAATCACAGAAATAACTCCATTTCATAAATGGGAGTACAGAAGCATGTTTTTTTTTGCCCAAGGGCAATATTTAAATACATAATTTTCTACTCCACTTCTTTGCTCTGCTCATTCTATCATCCCCATCCCCCTTCCAGATTCTTGTGCTTCAAGCTGAGTCATGAGCACTTACTTGGCAGGGCAAGGAGAGCCACATAAGTCTGCAGCTTCTCAAACACAGCTGTCATCTTCTTCATGTCCTGGGACAGCTCTAGATTCCGAGCTCTTAATGCAGATGTGCAAAGAGAAGATTCACATTCTTCTTCTAAACTAGGAATGGGCAGATTTTTTAAAGTGAGTATCTGAATGACTTTGAGTTAGCAATTAGAAACTATTTAACCTCTCAAACATCTATATCCAAGGCAGACCTTACCAAAAAAGGAATTTGATCTTTTTATATGGTTTCTTTTTTTTTTTTTTTTTTTTTGCCTACCCAGAACTACTTGCTGCAAATGCCAATGGAGCAATGGAGGACTAAATGAAGGAAAAGATAAAAGTCATATACACACCCAGCCAGTGCTGATGGCTCATGCCTGTATTCCTATCTACTCAGGAGGATTGATATCTGAGGATCATAGTTCAAAAGCATCCTGGGAAGAAAGTCTGTGAGACTCTCATCTCCAATTAGCCTCCAAAAAGCCAGAAGTGAAGCTGTGGCTCAAGTGGTAGAACACTAGCCTTGAACATAAAAGCTCAGGGACAATACCCAGGGCCTGACTTCAAGTCCAAGGACTAGTGCACCAGACACAGACACAGACATACATACACACACACACACACACACACACACACACACACACACACACACACACACACATCCCTGAGGGCAATACAAGGACATTAAAATATTAAATATTACAAGAAGGGCCACATGCCTATGATCCCAGCTACTCAAGAGGCAGAGGATCAGGAGGATCTTGATTCAAAGTCAGCCCAGCAAAAAGTTAGTAAAACTTCACCTCAACTGAAAAGTTGGATGTGGTGGTTCACACCATAATCCCAAGTACAACAAAACTCCACAAAAACATATCTGAAAAAATAACTCAGGCAAAAAGGGCTGGGAACATGGCATAAGTGGTAGCAACATGAGACTCTGAGTTAAAACTCCAGTACTAACAGGAAAAAAAAATCCTTAAAATATTTACAGGAGCATTTCACAGACTAAAAATATAATATTGCCACTGACACTAGCTGAGAGACTAAGAAATCTTTTTGAGGGAGTGAGATGCGGGGGACGGAAAGTCGGAAAAAAACAAGGGAAGGGGTAACGATGTTGGACAAGAAATGTACTCACTTCCTTATGCATGTATAGTTTCAAAATCCCAAAACAGACTGAAACCCAGTCTGTTAAAGGCTCAGATATGAAATTAAATACTAAGCATTTTCATAAAATACATTATATTCAGTTTTAGATAGTTACTTGGGGAAAATTTCTTAATGTATAGAAATGTGAACTCTTCCTAACATTTATCTTAAAATGTATAGGTAATAGCCAGGAGTTGATGGCTCATTCCTATAATCCTAAATACTTAGGAGACTGAGATCTGAGGATATCAGTTTGAAGCCAGCCCAGACAGACAAATCTAAAAGACTCTTCTGTCCAATTAACCAGCAAAAAGCTGGAAGTAGAAGTGTGACTCATAGGACAAAGCACGATCCTTGAGAAAAAAAAAGCCAAGCAAAGAGTGTAAGACCCTGAGTTCATGTCCAGTACCAACACATACACACACACACACACACACTCATACACACACACACGCGCGCGCACATGCACATGTGTGGTAATCAAGTAAAAAATGTTTTACATAAAACTAGAGAAGCACTAACCCTGGCCATGTAATACCAAAACTCTAGAGCTCAGAGCCAAAGGATTGTGAGTTCAAGGCCAGCCTGTACTACATAGCAAGACACTGTTTCAAAAACATCCAAACAAACAAAAAACAAATGAAAAACTTAGCATGACAATCCTAATTATGTCCATGTCCTTCCCTCTCCCTCGCCATTTTTATGTTACTTACAGCAGACAGCTCTAGTCAATTCTGAGCCTGCTTGCTACTTAACAAGAGGTCAGCCGGTCAATTTCAATGATACTTAAAGTAATGCCCCAAGTTTTATCTAAAAACATGAATTCTGTATGAAAAAGGGCTGAAAAATACAATAAAACATTTAACAAGAAAAACTTTAGATCAAGAAAGGAGTTATGGTTTTTAAAAGGTAATCATGCAGGGCACCGTGGCTCACACCTGTAATCCTTGCTACTGAGGAAGCTGAGATTGAGGATCCTGGTTCTAAGCCAGCCCAGGCAGGAAAATCTGTGAGATACTTATCACCAATGAACTATTCAGAAAAAGCTAGAAGTGGCACTGTGGCTCAAGTAGTAGAGTACTAGCTTTGAGCTTGGACAGGCTCAAGGACAAAGCCCAAGCCCTGAGTGCAAGCCCCAGGACAGGCAAAAAAAAAGAGAAAAGAAAAGAAAAAAAGACAATCATTAAAAAAAAAATGTACAACCTATCAAACTGTATCAAATAACGTATTTTTCTTTTGTTCTTTTTTTTTAACCCAGCTGGCTTTGAATTCAAGATCCTCTTTTTCCCTCCCCCACGGTATAACCCTTGTTTTCACTGTATTTGATGTTGGTATAATTTGTGGAGGGGAAGGGAAAAAAAACAAATTGTTTAAATAGGGATACAGTGGACCCATTGCAACAATGAAATGTACAAGACACTATGTTGAAAAACCAACTTTACAACTTTGGGTGGGGGGGGGAGGATGGGAAGGAAGGGGAAGGGGAAACAGGAGGAAGCAACAATGCTTGATAAGAAATGTACTCATTACCTTGCCCATGTAACTGTAACCCTTCTGTACGGTATTTTCACAATTTAAAAAAAAATGATCCTCTTTTTTACTAATACCAAAGTTTGAACTGAGGGCTTCACACTCACTCATCATTCTTACATTGCTGGCACTATACTACCTTGAGACATGCTTCCAGTCCAGTTTTTTGGAGTCTGGAAGACTTTTCTCCCCAGCTGGCTTCAAACCTCAATTCTCCAGGTCATAGCCTCCTCAGAAGCCAGGATTTCAGGCATGAGACACCAGTGCTTGGCTTGTAATGCTTCTTAAATTGAATCTTCTTAAATATAAGCCAAACCATAAAGATTTATTCAATGTTAATGTTAAACTTAGTCAATTTTCAAAAAAATACTGAAAATTAAGCTATAACATTTAAAATCATCACTATTAAAGTCATAATTCTCTGATTCCTAAAATCCTCTCATATACACAAGTCACAGAATTTGGTTAAATACCTTGCTAGGTAACAATTAGGAAATAAGATATCTCTTAAACTGTCAAATTTTAAATGTTACAATTCTGTATTTTCAATATTTATAAGCAGTTAACCTACATACTTTCTAAACCTCTGTTCCAGTTTTTATTCTTTTTTTTTTTAAGCTAAAGACTTAGGTGAAATAGGCACCTTGGTTATTTTAGATCCAAAGTATCAAAAGTAATAAAGGTTCATCATAAAAAATTCCAGTGACATATATTTTCTGCCTTTCTATAAATACTTAAGGCAGAATATTAAAGTTACTAAGTGGCATAAGATGAAAGCCATGATTTTTTATAATTAAAAAAATCACCAATAATAAAAATAAGAACATACTATTTCAAAGATACCTAAAGTGCTAGGCGCCAGTGGCTGATACCTGTAATCCCAGTTTCTCAAGAGGCTGAGAACTGAAGCTCAAGGTTTGAAACCAGCCAGGCAGGAAAGTCAATGACACTCTTAACTCCAATTAACCATTAAAAAGCCAAAAATAGAGCTACAGCTCAAGTGATAAAGTGCCAACCGTGAGCCAAAAAGTTAGGGGTCAGCACTCACGCCCTGAGTATAAGAACTATTACTAGTACACACACACACACACTCACACACACCACATACACAAAAACCAAACCCAATAACACATAATAATTTCAGTAGCTATGTCATAAATGATTACTGAAGACCCCAATTCACACCATTACATGGCTGTAATACCAACACAGAACAGCACTACTGAAGACCACCGCTGACAGACAACTCCACTCTCCACCACACTTTTCCTTGTGCACACAAGTTCCCATGGGCAGACGGGTCAGTCAGATCACAAGAGGCATGGGTCCTGTTTTATCAACTGCAGAGCAAGTCAGGTTCCAGCACAGTCCCCCAAGCTCCCTGGCCTCCAGGGGAATACCTTTTTAACTGATAAGGAAGAATCTTCCTAAGGAAACATACGTAGGAGGTTAGATGCTCTGAAAAGGTTTTCATTTTCACAGTTGTCTCCTGGAAAAGAAAAACAACATCAAAGTTAAAAATGCTACTTGGACTAGAGGATGTCCCACTTCCAGACATAGACAAGGAAGAAAATTACCAGGACGGTCACAGTGTCCTCAGTAATACTTTCAAATAAATGCAGCATTCCTTCCTCAAGGGGGCGGACATAAGATGCATTTTCATGAAGGTACTGTGAGAACTAAATAGGAGAAAACAAATTGTGAATTTATTCACTGGAAAACAAATATCAACACACTTGTAAATGGATCTATTGAGATATAAGCCTAAGTTCTTTTGGAAGTTTTCGGTGAAATTTGGCTTTCCCTGTATGCACCCCTCTGACAGTCCCAAATACCCTACTCCTCATCCCAGTCCAAATCAATGAAGCAGGAGTGACACAGTGAATAACCAGGCATTGGAGGAAATGAACATAGGATGATAATACAGCCCAGCAGTGGCAGACTAGTGTCCCTGAACACCTGTTTTTCTATAAGGATCCCTGTTTACACACAGGGATTTTTGCATTACATACTTCATTTTTTAAAAAATACAAGCTAAAAGCCTGGTGGTGGTGGCCCACACCTATTCGAATCTACCACTTGGAAGGTTGAGATTGGGAGGATCATGGTTCAAGGTCAGCCAGGGCAAAAAAGTCTGCACTATCCCATTTCAACCAATAGCTGAGCACAGTGGCACCTGCCTTTCATCCTAACTATGTGGAGGAGGCTAAAACAGTGAGGACTGCAGTTCGATGCAGCCTGAACAGAGAAGTCTACAGACTCAATGGAAGAGACTAGGTGATGTAGTGCATGCCTTTTCTCCCAGCTACAGCAGAAGGCAAAAATTGGAAGGATTGTGGTCCAGGCAATAAGTGAGACCCTAACTCAAAATAATCAATGCAGTAGAGTGTCATGGCTCAAGCCTGTAATCCTAGCTACTTAGGAAACAGAGATCAGGGCATCAAGGCTCATTGTCAGCCCAGAAAAAGAAAAACCAAGCTACTGAGTATTATTTTTATTGTAGACAATATTCAAGACTAACAAATGCCAAGAATATAATTACAAATGATATTAAAGCATTTATAACTAGCATAGATCCCTTAGCCTGTAAAGGTATGAAGAATAGCTTTCATGGGTTGTAAATGTAACTCAGTGGGACAAAGAGTATGCTTAGCAGGTGCAAAGCTGTAAATTTAATCCCAGCAATCTCAACCCCTAAAATAATTCAGAAAAAAAAAAAGCATATAAATCAAAAACTTAGAAGCTGAAGGTAACTTTTACTTAGGAATATCTCAGTTGTCAGTACTATGTACTAGCTCAAATTCAGTTTCTCAGAACAGAAGTGTAAGGTCTCATCGTGTATAACTGAGCTCACTACAGACTATGCACAAATATGATCCTGGACCATTCAGTACCTCTGGGCTCTACCTTCACAGCTGCACTCTAAGCTTCTAGGTCTTAAGGGCCACCTTACGATTCTAGGAACAATTTCAGACATTCTGATCATCATCTAATAAGTGGTTTCCAAATTTCTTCCACTATTATAAACTTATTAGAAAACTCACATAGAACCTTTCATTGTTGAAACACCTACAGGTAAAATATTGAGAAATACATGAATTCTTCAAAATAATGAAGTGCCTTAGAATTGGCAAAGAATCAATATTAATTAAAAACTCTATTGTAAAATTATAGGAAGTGTAACTATATTAAAATGGAGCAGTACTACTTTTCCTAGTCAGGTATTTTGAAGCTTTTTCCCCACAGTGATGACCAAAGAGTATTTCATAGGACAAAGTTTACTTTTTCAGGAACCTTAATGTTTTTTGTGGAGTCCAATTAAGATTGGTGAAAACCAAACTTCTTATATATAAGGCACAATAAAAAACAATAGAAGGCCGGGCACCAGTGGCTCATCCCTGTAATCCTACCTATTCAGGAGGCTGGTTCAAAGCCAGCTCGGGCAGGAAAGTCCGTGAGACTCTTATTTCCAATAAATGGCCAGAAAACCAGAAGTAGCGCTGTGGCTCAAGTGGTAAAGCCCTGGCCTTGAGCTGAAGAGCTGAGGGATAGTGTCCAGACCCAGAGTTCAAGCCCCACAACCAACAACAAAATAATAATAATAATAAATAAATCAAATAAATAATAATAGAAGCTAATCCTTACTAAGTGCTTACCAGTCTTCTCAATACTTTATCCCATTTAATCTTCAAAGATACATGCCTGTGAGGTAGGTACTATCTCCTCCATTTTAAAGATAAGGAAACCAAACCACATAGAGATTAAATAAAATCTCTAAAGGGCCTACCTAGAATATGGCACTGCTGGACTGAAAACCCAAGAAGTCTGATTGCAAGTCTTTGCTATACTAATAGGCACTTTGAGTATGAAAGGACACTAAAAACTATTCCTAGAAACTTCATGCTGCACAAAAACAAGCTGGGAAAAAGAACTATAAAAAGAGTGGCACGACTTATTTCAGATCACCATATATCAGCTCTCAGAGACAGACACCTTTAGAGCAAAATCCCACAGGTTCCTCCCTGTGGAAGCTAGTCTCCAAGATGATCCCTATGTATTCCTGCCTCGGGTAGGACTTCTCTTATTTCGGAAGAGGTGATGGTATGTAACTACCCAGGTAGTATCAGCTTCCACCTTGTTCTCTTGCATCAATTTCTCTAGGGAATGTTAGCTGCCACGTTATGAGGTCACTCAAGTGCCCTATGGAGAGGTGCATGCAATGAGAAACAAGCTCCAGGAGCCAACACTAAGTTACAAGGCATGTGGAAGCCATGCTGGAAGTGAATCCCAAGCTCCAGCCACATCTTTAGACGAATGACGTCCCAGTGATATCTTAAGTGGAGCCTTTCGAGAAATTATAAACCAAAAATCCTTCAGATACTTAGTTCCCGAATTCTTGACTCACAGGAACCATGTTTAATAACAAATTATGATTTTTCTAAACCACTATGTTTAGGAGTAACATATTTCATATTAATAAGTAAGTAATGAACTCATTATCATTTATTCTACCTTTTCAGTTATAAGAGATTTTGCAAACTAGCTTTTTTTAGAATTAGCTGGGGAGAAAAAAAGGAAAGAGAGGAGGAAAATCTATCAAGTCAAAGAAAGCATAAAGGAAGAGAAATCTGAAACTCTTAGGATTCCTTGTTTAAACCTCACAGTCTCAATTGACAAATGTCTGGAATCTCAACTGGATGTGAGGTTTCACTCCCAATCCATGCCCCCACAGGCAGGCCAAATGTCAGCTTTACTTATAACACGTTATTCTGATGTGCAATGATGAAAAGTTAGAGACTACAAACAAGAAGAAAGGAAAAAGCCATCAAATTAATCTTTCCAACAGTAAGATGGCACTTTTCCTCACGTCATCCCTGGTCAAAAAACCGCAAAGGCCTCAGTCCTAAAAGTGAAAGCCTGCCCTCAGGCTCACACCTGTAAGCTACAATAGGGTGAGATCTGAGGATCATGATTCAAAACCAGCCCAGACAGAAAAGTGGCAGAAAAGTTCATGAGATTTTTATCTCCAATTACCCACAAAAAGCCAAAAGTAGAGCTGTGGCTCAAATGGTAGAATGCTGACCTTGAGCAAAAGAACTCAAGGACAGCACTCCAAATCCTGAGTTCAAGCCCCAGTACTGGCACAAAAAAAAATAAAAACAAAAGCCGAGCACTGGTGGGTCAGGCCTGTAATCCTAGCTACTCAGGAGGCTGAGATCTGAGGATCACGGTTCAAAGCCAGCCCAGGCAGAAAAGTTGGTGAGACTCTTATCTCCAATAAACCACTTAGAAAACTGGAAGTGGCACTGTGGCTCAAGTGATAGAGTGCTAGCCTTGAGCTGAAGAGCTGAGGGAGAGCACCCAGCTGAGTTCAAGCCCCATGACTGACCAAAAAACAAAAACAAAAACAATGGTTGCTCATTATTGCCCCTTCACCAGTCTACCCCACACCATGCTTTCCTGCTACATGAATTTTCTCACATCTTTTCCTCTTCTCTCCTATTCAAAGTTTGCTCATTCTTGAAGGCCCAGTCAAATCCCCAAAGAATCCTTTCTTGATACCAAAGGCTTTTATCTCCCCTCCCTGACAAGCCCATTCCAATTAATAGCCACTCACTGGCTCACTGACATTGAAGTCTTTTAGCAGGTTCCCTAGTATTTAATTTTTTAAGCAACTCTATTTTTGTCATACTTTGTTTTGACAGTAAAGCCATAACTGGTGGCAGGTTTTCCATGTCCTCCACAGTACTTAGCTAGTGGACAGAAATGGTATGAAAATAATTAATTCCCTATTTGTTTTCCCTACTTGTTTAAGGCAAGAAGTATTCTAGGTTAAATTTACCTTCTGATTCAATGGTGATATAGTATCTATGGCAGAATCAACAGGAAAAATCTGAATCCTCTGTTCTGTATAGGTATGGAAGTTCAGAAGAGCTGTCACAAGATCTTGAACAAAAGCCAGGGCCTGCCCAGCTATATCTCGCATCTTCAGCTTTAAATGAAAAGTATACAAAGTCAACTATCAAATTATCATTCTAAAATTTTATTAAGTCGGCTTCTGGAGGAAAACGTTTGGTGTCTAGGATGAGTATTTCCTGGTTTAAATTCATTTCCTCCCACTAAAATTTTAATTCTCCTATTTAAGTAAATTAGAAGGCCACTAGCTTTGACAAATACACCGGCTCCACCTAAACTAAGACATAGAAGATTTACTAACGTAAAAGAAAAGCACAGCTCAGGACAGGGGGCATGGCTCAGAGCACTTTATGCACATAAATAAGGCAAAAAGAAAGAAAAAACAAGTGTCCAAAAATTAAGGCATCCTCTAATTTGTTAACAGACAAAGGAGACAATAAAAATCAGCATTATTTATGAATGTACAAAGAAAAGTAAGTACTACTATTTTAAAAAATGAACAAGAACAAATGGACAAGAAAGTAAAGCAATGAATTAGCACATTAATTCTTATTTCTGGAGCGCACATGGCTGAACACAAGAACATGGACTTTATTCTTTACCTGATGCCTTCTATTGTGCAGTGGGACATTGAGTGCATTATACTGATTATACTCTGCAAAACAGAAATGCGCCACATTAATCTCTCACTTTACATGCATAGAAAAACAGCTTAACTGCAAAATAATACATGTTCTGCAGCAAAGTCAGCTTTGCATGAGAATTCAAAATACCAATGACACAGTCACAAGTACAAACAGAATCTATATATGGAATCAGTGCTTCCTCATATAAAGTAATATTTACAGAAATTTTTTTTTTTAACTAGAGGATTAAAAGAAAACCTAACATGCATGCTTCCAGTTCTAAGAAATCATCCAAATGCTTCTTTGGGGCTTATCAAGATTACTGAGAAGACATGATATTATTGCTGTCATTTGTCATTCTCTTTGACTGGTTATCATCTAGTCGTTCATAATCCTCCAAAAATACCTCTGCTTCCAAAACATGACAACACTGGGAAGCCTATCACTGTCTGCTGCTACCAGTGATTCAATTCTAACTACCCGGGGCTGGTTTTACTGTCTTTCTCACAGTCCTCCACCGCACGCTCCAGTCTGTCATGAGCCTCTGATGGCTTGCTAACACCGGTCTCATCCTTCCTGCACCCTCATTTCAGTGACCATCTCCTCACTACTTCAGCTCTCACACCTGCTCACCATCCAGGTGCTCTGTCAGAAGGATCTGAACCAAATCCTCACTGTGAAAGTCTCTGTGTCATTCTCACCAGGGCTCTCTAATTAGAAAGCCACTGCTAACAACCTGGCTAGGTGTTCCTAGTTCAATTTCTGTCCTTTAACACCTCTCTTCGATCAGCCCTCCTATAGCCCTGCTTCTGCCCCCACCCCAGCCTTGCCTATCATTTCAACCATGCTTTTTGCAAACATAAAACCAAAACAAAGTCTGTTACAATGCATTCTACCTAATTTCAGGAGGGGCTTTGACTCTACTTAGCAATCCAGGATTCATTGCTGTGTCCCTATCTTACTTCCTACTACATCTACTCCCAATCTCTTCAAACTGAAACCCTCACTACCATTCCTCATCTCTTCTCCGGCTCCACAGATAAAATGCCCTCCCCTGCTAGTACTTCTTATAATCTAGAGCCCCCGAGTCCATGGGTCACATATCGTTCTTCAGCCACCTCTCTTCCTAGGCCTTTCACAATAGCTGCTCCTGATCTGCTTTGGACCAGGCATATCTGTCACTTCCTCCTTTCGATCTTTTTGACAGGGTCTTTCTATGTAGCCCAGGCTGACTTTGATCTTGTGAGCCTCCTGCCTCGGCCTCCTGAGGGTTAGGATTATAGGCATGTACACCTGGCCCCTACTTTCCATCTCTAGTGTCACTAGTGTCCTAAAAGATGCAACCCAAATGTCTCCACAGTTTTTGCTGTGCTGTACTTGATTCTCTGCCTTCATGTACTCCTTTCATTCTCATTGTTGAAAAACAAGTTTGTTTTGTCTGTTTCCCAGTGTCCATACATTCCTAGTCCCTGTGTAAGCAATCTGGTGTCTACCCTACATGGAAAAACAACCTTCAAAGGTTACTAGTCCTTTCAGAATTGCCAACAGTCCCAGGCCCAGGTGCCTTTCTTACCATCGCTTCTGAGTCTCTCCACCCTACTTCCCAGCTTCTCTCCAGCACAGCTCCTCCCATCCCACATCTGAGACAGAGTTCACTGAGGATCCTTTGTGCTGTGCATACCCTGTGCCTGCCTCTCCACAGTGGGGCTTATCCAGCCCAATAGTGTCCATTCTTTGCCTGTTGTCTGTTAGAACATTCAACAATCAAGTTAACCCCTCATCTTTCCCATAAGCCTCCTCTACTGTTACCATCTGGACCTTACATGTCCTTTAAAAGCCTACCCATCAAAGACTTGATTGTTAGCCTGTAGTACTACTAGGAGAAAGTGGAACTTTAAGCAGGTGGGACCAAATACAAGAAAGTTAGGCCACAGGGAATGTGTCCTTGAAAGCGACCCCGGGACCCCAGCCCCTCCCTTTCTCTTTGCTTCCCAACTGCAATGAGCTGAGCAGCTTTCCTCACCATGTGCTCCCATGAGCCTGCTTACCACAGGCTCAAAACTCAACGGAGGCCAGCAAGCATGGACTGAACCTCTGAAAAAGCAAGCGAAAACAAACCTCTCATCCTTTTAAATCAATAACAAGTATTTGATCTTAGTGATGAAAAACTAACTTTTTTTTTTTTTTGGTGTTGGTCCTAAGGTTTGACTCAGGGCCCGGATGCTGTCCCTGGGCTTTTGTGCTCGAGGCTAGTCCTCTACCACTAGAGCCACAGCTCCATTTTCAGCTTTTTGGTGGTTAATTGGAGATAAGGGTCTCATAGATTTTCCTGCCCGGCTGGCTTCGAACCATGATGCTCAGATCTTAGCCTCTTGAGTAGCTAGGATTACTGGTGGCAACTGGACACCAGTGCCTAGCGCTAACATACCTTTTATTTCTGTCAATTACCACCATATTTCCCCTTGCCTCCCAGACAGGAAAGCTGTCCTTTCTCCTTCCACAAAACCATCTGCTCCTCTCTGCCAGCCTAGGTTGCAGTCTCCAGGTTGGCACACCAGAACTGTCATCTTCCCTGGTCTCTTCCCTCTCACTCTAAGGCAGTCTATGTTTTAGAGGGGAATAAACCTTAACAGTACACAAGTCTCATCTGGACAGTCCCTAGCTAAGAAAACTCTCCTACAACCTGGGGGCCCTGTGGATGAAATCCTCAATCTTTAGGGTATAGTCCTACCCTCCCCCTCACAGAACGAAACTGTCACTGCCCTCCACATCCCACCCACCCCAGCCAGCTGTCATTCTTTACTTCTGTTCCTGAGGCAATGGCAGCAGCTTCATCCCACATACAATTCCCTTCAAGAAACTCCTTGGCTGTTTTCTCTCTTCTCTGCCCAATAAAATCTGCTCATGCACACAAACCTGATTCAAAACATGCCTCCTCTGAAAAGGCTTCCTCAGTCACCCACCAGATTAAGTGGTTTTTCATGGCATAAGAGAGTTTGTATTTTCCATGTAGGTATTTCTATATCTCTGCTCTATTAGAAGGTAGAGATCCTTACTGTTAATTTTTTAGCCCCTATGCTACCTCCCCATGTGAGCACTTAGCAAGTGCTCTGTAAATATTTTGGGACTGAAAGTAGTAACCCACATGAGATGTGATGTGACAAGGACCTGTAACTAAGTGACAATTAGTACTAGAAAAGGAAAACTCCAAAAGAGAGTCAAAAGGGAGTTATAAGAATATGAAGGAGGCCGGGCGCTGGTGGCTCACACCTGTAATCTGGTGGCTCACACCTGTAATCCTAGCTACTCAGGAGGCTGAGATCTGAGGATCCTGGTTCAATGCCAGCCCGGGCAGGAAAGACCGTGAGACTCCTATCTCCAATAAACAACCAGAAAACCAGAAATGGCGCTGTAGCTTAAGTGGTAGAGCGCTCACCTTGAGCTGAAGAGCTGAGAGACAGCGCCCAAGCCCAGAGTTCAAGCCCCATGACTGACAAAAAAAAAAAAGAATCTGAAGGAGCTGGGTGTTGGTGGCTCACACCTATAATTCTAGCTACTCAGAAGGCTGTGATTTGAGAATTGCAGTTCAAAGCCAGCCAGGACAGAAAAGTCTGTGAGACTCTTATCTTCAATAAGCTACTCAGTAAAAGCCAGAGTGGTACTGTGGCTCAAGTGGTGGAGCACTAGCCTTGAGCACAAAGAGGCTCAGAGACAGTGCCCAGGCTCTGAGTTCAAGCCCCAGGACCAGGAAAAAAAAAAAAAAAGCCAAGGTTTCAAATCCAGGGAATCAAAGGAATGTAGTATGGTTTCCACTGACACGGTAGCTAGAAACAGGTGTTGTTTTTGAGGGGGAATTTAGATTTCTGAGGTAACAATGACCTGTGTTGATTTTAGAATTAAATCAAAGTACTATTTTCCTGGGATGTTTTCTGTCTTTTTCTCCTTCTGCTTAGGTCTTTCCTAAGAAAAATTTAGGGGAAGTGAAAATTAAGTTCAATCATGTGATTGTAGAAAAAGGAAATTATATTAATTCAAAGAAGTTTCAAAATCTAACAACTATTTTCTTTGCTTTCAAGGTTTTGTCTGAATTCTTGCCTAAAGACTACAAATTTGGAAGCTATTACTTAGGTAAGTTATTATCTTCACTTTTTTTTTTTTGCGGGGGGGGGGGGGGGGGGGTCTGTCATGGGGCCTCAACTCTGGGCCTGGGCGCTGTCCCTCAGCTCTTCAACTCAAGGCTAGCGCTCTACCAGTTGAGCCACAGTGCCACTTCAGGCTTTTTTCTTTTTTGCTTATGTGGTGCTGAGGAATCGAACTCAGGATCTCATGCATGCAAGGCAAGTGCCACCTTCCCAACACCTATCTTCACTTTTTGAAAAGTGCTTTTCTGTTGTTCATGAGTGCTTAACTGGCCAGACCACTCCTAGGATGAATAACCAGCTTCCTATCACTAGGCCCTCCCCCATCAATCACCACTCCGCTTATATAAATATTCAACTAATTTATGTGAAGGTTGGTTTTTACCTTAGATTATCAAAATTATATGCAAACAAAAAATGCATTTGAAATATCACCATTATATGCAAACAAAAAACGCACTTGGATTTCAATTTCTAAGATGACTGGCTTTGGAGTAGTTACATGATCATTTTAAATCTCCCTTTGAAATATAAGAGCCAAAGCTAATCAAGAGAACAAAAAGAAAGCAACCTTCAGTTGGGCCAATTTAGTTTTTTTGTTTTGTTGCCAAGGAGATTAGACATCATTTTAATTAGTTGCCTACCACAGAGAGCTTCAGAGTTAGAAATAATATAAAATGGTATCAAATACCTACTTGTATCATTAAAAGGGACTTTTTCATTGATGATTGATAAGGATTCTTCTAATCTACTTGACAGATCTTTATGAAGATGTTTTAACTGTGATTGACTGAAAAAGAGAAAGATACAAACCCACATTACAAACAATCAGGGAATCGTCATTGGTTACCTCCATAACTATGCCATATATTGGAGACACAATGCTGACTGCTGTTAAAAGAGGAAGAAAAGCTGGGCGCCAGTGGCTCGTACCTATAATCTTAACTTCTCAGGAGGCTGAGATCTGAGGATCACAGTTCAAGGCCAACACAGGCAGAAAAGGCTATAAAACTCTCTCCAATTAACTACCAAAAAGTGGAAAGTGGAAGTGTGGCTCTAATGGTAAAATGCCAGCCTTGAACAAAAAGGCTCAGGGACAAAACCCAGGCCCTGAGTTTGAGCCCCAGATCAGCTCACCAAAATAAAGACGAAGAGAAATATCACACCTCCATTCCTAAGTACCAAAGGCTTCTGAAGGAAGGAATTTATCACAGTCTCAATATGTTACACAAACCTAAGTTTCCTTCCTCAAGCAGAACCACTTCAAAAGCACAAATTTTATTTTTACATAATAAATGCTTATTCAAGTATCACTGTAAAAGGATTTTGTTTTTCTTTTTTTTTTTTTTTTTTTGTCGGTCGTGGGGCTTGAACTCTGGGCCTGGGCGCTGTCCCTCAGCTCTTCAGCTCAAGGCAAGCACTCTACCACTTGAGCTACAGCGCCACTTCCGGTTTTCTGGTGGTTTATTGGAGATAGGAGTCTCACGGTCTCTCCTGCCCGGGCTGGCTTTGAACCGCGATCCTCAGATCTCAGCCTCCTGAGTAGCTAGGATTACAGGCCTGAGCCACCAGCGCCCGGCTCCGATTTTGTTTTTCTTTAAGTATTATATCACAGGTTTTTTTGTCAGATTAAAAGCTGATAGTTTTTGTTTTGGTTCAATTATCAGCACAAAGTACACATTTACTTCATTGCATTTATTTCCACCAATGCAATGAACTGAAGTAAATTCGCTTGACCAAGTCTACTAAGTCTAAAGTATTATAAAGACCTTAAAATATGTCATGTACCACAAACGTATGATCTTAATGCGACTTTCTAAGTAATATTTCAAAATTTAGACATCTCTAACCTATAAAATCTCTATTTTATTCAAAATATACCAGAAAAGGGTTGGTACAAAGATTACTGTTTGCATTCCATACCTCTACTTAGGGGAGTCTGACAGAGCACCCAGTCTTCAGTATGAGAGGCCCAGGACATGCCTGCCATGCCCCAAACACCTGCTAGCTGTGACTACTACACAAGCCACTCAAGAATTCTAAGGCCCACTCAAGTGCCAGATGGCTCATGACTGTAATATTAGCTACTCGAGCCTGTGATCTAAGGATCACAGTTCGAAGCCAGTCTCAGCAGACAAATGCAAGAGTCTTATCTGCAATCAGCCAACAAAAAGTTGGAAATATAGATGTGGTTCAAGTGGTAGAGTACCAGCTGTGAGCAAAACAAAAAAAGTTGAGGGAGAGCACCCTCAGTTCAAGCCCCCATTCAGGATATACATATACACATATATGTGAATATATGTATATATACACACATATATGTGAATATACATATATAAATACACATATTTATGTGTGTACATGTATACATACAGATGTATATATGTGCGTTGTACATTTGTGTATGTATGTATGTTTATATATACATACATACACATACATATATACATATACATGCATATATATATATATACATATGCATATACATTTGCTTATGGATATGCATGCTGAAGCCCCAAAGGATGCACGAGGACTCTGGAGATTCCCTACTCCCATCTTATCTCGAATGTGAAGCAGAGGAGCAGCTAAAAGCCAAAACTCAGGTTCTCACTTCAGGGCCCTAGATTTGTTTCCACATACCATTCCTCTGTTCGAAGTCGACATTCCTTGGCCTCCTTTTCTAGAGTCTGAGATTTTACCTAAAGTTTACAAGGAAAAGAAAAGTAGACAGTTTAGGCTACAGCTGAAGCATACTTGAGAAATAATCAGGCCACAAGCTTACCTGAAACAACTAACTGTGCTTTACAGAGCAACATGGACAACTTTCAAAGGCCTGGATTAATTTTTACCATGCTCTCACAAACAGTGGGCTTACTTCTAGCTTAGCCTTGTCATTCTGAAGTTTCTCAATGGTTTCCATGTACTTCCTTGTCAGGCCATCAACCACAGCTTGGTGCTGGGCTGCTTCTGTCTCCAGAGCGGACAGGCGACTCCTCAGCTCTGCTTCTACATGCTTGTGCTGCTCATCAGCTTCAAAAAACTGAAAAGGAAAGACCATTTTTTTTTCTCATGAAGCACCAATACATATAAATGAGAAAGCCAAACAGCAGTGATTATTCACTGAGTAACATCTATATGGTTATATGTGCTCTATGCAAAACCCATAGGTATTATCTCAGTGTATTATCAGAAGATATACTTTGGCTATCCCTCCTTTACACATGCAGAAACAGCTTGAAAGGTTGTAACTTATGTCTCACAGTAAATGTGAGATTGAAACATAGGAAGCCTATTCCAAAGCCTGCACCTCTTTTAATCACGAGTTCCTACTTCCTAAAATAGGGAAAGTTCTATCCCTTAATAAGAGTCTGAAACTAAGATTAACAGGCTGGACATGATGGCTCATGCTTATAATCCCAATTTCTCCATTGGCAGAGATCAGGAAGGACATGATCAAGACCGGTCTAGGCAAAAATGGACAGGGAAAAAGAAAGGAAGGGAAGGGAGAGGGAAAGGAGAAAAGAAGAGTAAGTAAAGGACAGGGAAGGAAAATGACATTGACAGTTGTACTTAAAAGACTGTGGGAATCATGAAAAACCTATACAGAGATAAAACATACTATTTGTACTATTTTTTTCTACTTCTCAGATTGCACATGGAAACTAGATTTTTGTCACCTGTATATGCAACCGTTCATTCTCTTCTATCTTCTTTTGTAGATCTTCATCAAAGACACTCTTCTGCTCTTGACTCAACTGAGAAGAAGATTCTCCACTTTTCTGATGGAAAGAATAAGTTATGTCCACATAACTTTCATCCTTTAGAGAAACATCCTAAGGTACACAGATTCTCTATCACCTTAGTAGCTTGTCTCTTCTATGTGTTCACCATTCCCAAACAATCCTGCAAAAGGTACACAGTCCATCATTTAACTTTTCCTATGGGACACAAATGTAACTGCAAATAGTGTAAAGGGCAGGAAAGCTTAAAAGAGAGAGAGAGAGAAGAACATAGAAGGTCATTATTCTTTTCAGAGCAATTTAGAGGTAGTACTATTGGGAAACAGAACAAACCCAGAAGGCTAACAACATAAATACACTAATAAACACCATTTAAATGTGATCTTTAGGCTTGGAAAAGAGAGTTTTGACAATTCTGCAAGTATGACTTGTTAAACTCCTTTAAGAAATATAGTAAGTTAGGTAACAACATTCATAAAGTTAAGTTTATTCAGAAGTTCACATCAACTTATGAATTTTTAACAAACATAAGCTTGTAAATGAGACTATTGCTAAAAACACTAGGAAAAAACTCAAAGATAGGGCTGGGAGTGTGGCTTAGTGGCAGAGTGCTTGCCTGATATACATGAAGCCCTGGGTTTGATTCCTCAGTACCATATAAACAGAAAAGACAGAAAGTGGCACTGTGGCTCAAGTGGTAGAATGCTAGCCTTGAGTAAAAGAAGTGCACAGACCATGCCCAAGCTCTGAGTTCAAGCCCAGGCCTGGCAAAAACAAAAAAAGAAAAACAAACTTAAATCCTCTCCTTTTGTTTTTTACTAGTACTAACATCATCTACTGAGAACAATAGCACTATTTAAAATCTAATAATGAAGCCAGGGCTCTGGCGGCACATGCCTATAATCCTAACTACTCAGGAGGCTGAGAGCTGAGGATCACAGTTCAAAGCCTCGTCAGGAAAGTCCATGAAACTCTTATCTCCAATAAGCCACCAGAAAAGTGGCTCATGTGGTACAGCGCTAGCCTTGAGCTGAAGAGCTGAAGGACAGCGCCCAGGCCCAGAGCCCCCCCCACCCCCCCCAAAAAAAAGTGAGCAACTGTTTTCATGTAATACACAAATCAAATATTCAAGAGAGAGTCTAACAATGATACTGTGTTTAGACATTAGTCACCATCTTCTGCCTTCTTTGTATCATCACTCATCACTTAAAATGAAGTCACCTACCGATCCAATATCAATCTGAAATTAAAAAGCCCTTTGCAAAATGGAGAAGCCATATAAAAACCAAAAATATTAAATATCCGTCAGGTCTGGAACACAACATATGCTACTGAATGACAAACTCAGGGCCCTTAGAGTTTCCAAATTTGGAAGCTTTAATTAAAACTAATGCACAAGTGCTACACACACCTCCTTGTTACACAGTCAGAAGGGACAGAAACAGTCTGGTGAGTGGAGTCGAGATGGCCATTTCTTCTCCAGAGGTTTTTCAGAATTCTTGGGGCATATGTGTACATTTTGATAGATTCCCAGGTGGCTCTAATATGTGCCTATTATACCCTCTCTGTTCCCCTTTCCGTGAACATCAGCACCCTACAGAATTCTCTGTGCAGGGAAATGGGTATGGGAAAGGTGTTAACATACTGTGTGGTAAACATATCCTAGGCACTTTTACATGACCCATTTAATCCTCACAGGCCTAAAAGCCTTGTCTCAACTTTGCTGATGGAGAAACTGATATAGTCCAGCTGCTAAATGAACTAAGTATATGTTTGCTGCTAATAAATTCTTTAAAACTAATTTCTGAATAAAAATGCCCCGAATGTTTACTTACCATACCTTTATAGGAGATGCCTGTGTTCTGGACCCTAAGTCCAGATATAATAATAGAACATCAGAGAATCTGGAGGAGAATCTTCTGTTTAAACCAGTGCCTTCATTGCATGCCTTTATGGAACCTACCTTGTTCTTCTTGCCCCGAGGTTCACTCAGCGCTAGCTCATCTTGCAGTAGTTCTACCCTCTTGGCAAGCTGCAGATTTCGAAATGTCAAACTGTCCATTTCCTGTTGCAATTTCCTCAGTGACTGATCTCTCATTTTTAGTTGTTCCTGCATCCAAGTGAGGGTTTTGAGGTTCAGAATAAATGAAAGAAGTGATGCTTGTTTCACCAAAATATAATCAAGATCTCTTGCTTCAGGGCATTCAAGTTGTGTTTTTATCTTTTCAGTTCTTACATTTTTTTTTTAGCTTTGTTTTAATGACAAAAATCATCTGTGGGCCAAACCAAGTAAATTTAAAACTAAACAGAAAACAGCAGACACGAAACCTGGGGCTACAAATTTATAAATCTAAACTTTTTAAGAGAGTCCCAGACTTACTAATGATACTCTTCAGTAAGCAAAACCCACAAAGAGTAAGTTCATATTTCCCTTTTTTTCTATAAATCTTCCTAGAACTTAAGTCCATTGAGGAGCAACTAGCTCCCATTCTGTGTGCCAGAGGGGCCTATTCCTTGTCCTTTCATTTTTCCTTGTTTTATTTGATTTATTAGCAAATCTTTGCTAGCCCCTTTAAAAAAAAAATAGACACAAAAAAACTCTCCCCACTGCCTGGGCCTGGAGGGTAACCAAGGCCTTCCTGCATATTAGGTTAGCTATATTCTCAGCTCAAAATAAAGTCTTTTCAACATTTATCTTTAACTATTTTGATATGCCAAAGATAAAAACCAATATCATTCTAACACAAAAGATAGTTTCAGATGCTGTTCTACATCAACTCACTTTAAAGCTAGATGAAAATAAAAACAGAATCTAGAATCCAAACACTTCCTGCTATTTTGTAATGTTAATACCATAACAGGGTAAGAAATGGAGACATTAAAAGGCATACTGTTTCACACAATTTTTAAAAAGATAAATACTTAGAAAATACTATCCTAAGTATATTTTTCTGTGAGATTCTGATAACTGTCTTCACTGACAATCAGCTACACATGGCCATATGCAACTATATGTTTCAGAAACACTTTTATTTCTTTCACTGAAAAAAAAAATTATAAAAAGCTAAGATTGGGATGTAGTTCAGTGGTAAAGAGCTTGCCTAGCAAGTATGAGGCTCTGGGTTCAATCCTCAGTACTGAAAAAGACAAAAAAAATAAAGTAAAAAAAAAAAAGCACTTAAAAAAAAAACCTAAGAGATCAAATTTTAATAAACCAATGACTTAGTCATGATAAAAAAAACCTAAATTTATAGCTAGTGTCCATACACTGAGATTATCTGAATGTTGAAAGCAGGACTAAGGACGGAAAAATGTACTCCTATTAAGTAGGCATTTTTTTCTTCTCTATTGTTTGTTTAAATGTAAACTTTGGTCCAATTCAGGTCTAAACTATCATACACCTCAAATTAAAGAAAGTCAAATTAATGAATAATAGTTACTGCCAGGAACTTCTACGGTAACATAATATTGTCACCAAAAGAATTGGCAAACTGTCAGTTATACAATAATTATGATTATTGTAAAGAATTAATAAAATAGAAAGTAATTTCTTTTCATTGTCATAGTTACCACCAGGCAACCATAAGTTGCCTGAAGCTCCAACTCCACCAACCAATCATTCATTTCAGAACTTTATCCTAATTTCTCTTACAACTCAGCAAGTGGTTGATAATGTTATCAACCACTGTAGAACTGCTGTGAACACTTAAAGATAATGGATCTAGTATACTTAGCACAAAGCTTGCTACACAATGTTTTGGGGTCAGAGCTACCTAAGTGGAGCTACCAGGAGACAACCAGTGGTTGAAGAGCTTCTCTAGAAAGACACCAGAGAAAAAAGTCCTAATCCTATCTGTCTAACAAGAAAGAGAAATCACAAGCAAATGGCCAGAGGGAGACAGTATATTTAACTGAAATTTAGTCAAGAAGAAGTCTATAACCTGGATTTAATTTATCCACTTAAAAGCATAACTCAGCAGATAGGTGCTGATGGCTCATGCCTGTAATCCTAGCTACTCGGGAGGCTGAGATCTGAGAATTGCCACTGGAAGCCAACTTGGGCAAGAACAGTCCTAGGGACTTTTATCTCCAATTAACCACAAAAAGTGGGAAGTGGAGCTATAGCTTAAGTGATAGAGTACTAACTTTAAGCAAAAGAGCTCAGGGACAGCATCCAGGCCCCAAGTTCAAGCGCCAGTACACACACACACACACACACACACACACACACACACACACGCACACACACTAAGGTATCACTAAGCAATGTTTATTACATGCCTCAGTGCTCTGATTAAAGAGCTATTACTACTAAATAGCACAACTATTAATGGACTAGGTGACTTCCATATTCCATTTATTAGGACCCATCTGCTGAGAGCTGGGGACACAGATATGAATGTGATCCGGCCTTCTCAACTGCTGTCTGGGGATGACCAGATACGAAGCTCCATTCATCCAGATGCACTGGGCTAAATAAAGGCCTTGAGGTACAGAAGAAATGCATTAGATAAAGTCAAATCATACTTTTTAGTAGCTTTTAGTGAAGGAAATCAAATGTTCATACCTAAGGTAATAAAATAAAATGTTCATACCTAAGGTAATAAAATATAACAGTAATTCCATCCCCTATTCCTAGTGAATCAGTATCAGAAGTAGGACTTTAACCCTGAAACCCAGCTGAATTCTCTGTTTTCAGCATGTTAAAACATAACAACCTTTCACAACACAAAGACCAGACTGCATACCTTTAAAGCAGCAGAATTTGCCTGTTCATCCACAACACCTTTTTTTAGGACTTGATTCTGAGCCCGAAGCTGAAAACAGGGAGAACAAAAAAATATTTAATATAAAACTTTGTAACCAGAATATCACTTACAAATTACTTTAGAGGAGTCATTATATTTAGGTAACTAAACATTTTCTCATATACAGACATGCATACAGTATAAACACATAGTATAAACAAAGTAAGTGAAATGGTTATTATAGTTCACCATTTTATGAACAAAGACTCACAGGATGAGTTCCCCAACAACATGAAACTAATCAATAGCAAAACTGGGACTAACTAGACATAGTAGCACACATCTATGATTCCAGTACTCAAGAAACCAAAGCAGTGAGACTGTGAGTTCAAGGCTAGCCTGGGCTACCTAGAAAACCCAATGCTAGTTTGGGGCTACAAAGGTAGGCTCTGTTTCAAAAACAAATTAAAAAAAAGAAAAGAAAAGAAAAGAAAAACCACTGGGTCTAAAATTCTGTCTCCAACTTCTATACACCATTCTTCATATGAAACTAAATCATATCCCTAAATAAAAAACAATACAATAAATAACAGACTACTGAATAGGCCATTTTCCTTTAAATTCTGGCATGCTGTCCATTTGTAAAATTCATACAGTTAGACAACCATTGATAAGAATTGCACAGAAAATGTACATCAAAATGTAGGTCACCAACAAACCCAGTGGGACACTGTAGCTAATATTAGTCATGAAAATGTCATCACAGACAGTGGCCTTAGGAATGGTAGGCAATTATTATCAGCCAGCAGCAGCAGCAATGTATGAAGCAATTAAGAAGCAGGTTCAATTTGCAAAATGATCTTAGTATCCACTTACATTTGAAAGATCATTATACACTGAACATTACATCATCCCAAGTACTTTTCATGTGTTACCTTGTCTAATCCTCACTGTCCTACGAAGTAAAGTTCTAATTATCTCTATTCTAGAGATGAGGCACAGAAAAGGGGGGTGGAAATGCTGAATTCCTATCTCGGCAGTTTTGATTCCATTGTCACAATGCCAGCTAGACAACATTGACTACTATGTCACAAGCTATGTTAGAGAAAAGCATTGGGCTGGTGAGGGGGGGAAAGCCTTAGGAGAAGGAAAACGAGCTTCTTTCCATAGTTCAGTATTAAAAGTTGACGTATATAATGTTATTTTAAATAAAGTACACAAAAATTATACTGTTGGATGATTTTTACTCATATCTACATCTGTATAACCACCACTGGCAGTTTTATAAGATAAAATCCACTAGCTATACACACATTAAAGCTCAACACAGCTAATAATCTGAGGGTTCAGCAGAGACCAGAAATGACCAGATTTTTCTTCTCTGGGAAACTGAAAGAATGGGACAATCTTATCTACCAGCTTAAAAAAAAAAAAAAATCAGTTTTAATAGGTGTGGGTCGCACATCACTGTAATCCCAGCATTTAAGAAACTGATGCAGGAGGATTTCAAGAGGCCAGCTAGGACTACACAGCTACATAGTCCAGAGCCTGGGTTACACAGCGGGACCTTGTCTAAAGGGGAAAAAAAAACTCTTTGTAATTCCGTATAGCTCAGATTAGGCTCCCGAGAACAGAGAACTGACTCTAATCAAGCCAAAAGGACAGGAACATTTGAGTGGTAAACCTTAAACTGAAACATCAAACAAAATTTAAGATTATAAGAAGATGAATATCTTCTACTTTGGGAAAGTCAAAAATTACAGATCACTGCTACAACAGAAACCAGATCCAAATCTTCGCTTTACTGTACACAATACAAACTTGAGAAATTCACTGGCCCTTTTATGCTTCAGCCACTTAGTTAATAGTATTATTGTATGGACATGACCCTATCTTCCTTCTTGTGAGCCAAACAGGAGACCTACGTCAAAGCATTTTCTAAACTAGACAATGTTCCACAAATGGAAACAGCTCTTCTAGTTAGACTGGACTCACAGCAACAACAGGCATATTTATTACAGTTTGTCTGGTTTGAAGCACTGTTCTAAATGATACGGGAGTCAAAGATGTGGTGCCTGTTCTAAAAGAACTTATCATTTACAGCGGAAAATAAAACAGTAAAACATGAGCAATGTAGGTATTTCCTACTCTTAAAAAAGAAGCATAGACACAAATCCTCTAGAAATGGTGTTGGCAAAGTCTAAGGGCCAGTCGGCCTGTAATCCATTTTGAAGTTGTGCTGGATCACAGCCCTACTCCAACATCTCTGCTACTGTACAACGGAAGAGAGTGGCCAAGACAGAAACCACACATCCTCAAGCCTGAAGTGCTTACTGTTTGGCTCTTTACAGAAAAAGACTTTACCTCTGCTCTGGAGTTCAAAATGGGAAAGTACTAGCTGGGCGCCAGTGGCTCACACCTATAATCCTAGCTACTTAGGAGGCTGAGATCTGAGGATCTCGGTTCAAAGCCAGCCCTGGCAGGAAAGTGAAACTCTTATCTCCAATAAACTACTCGAAAACGCAAAGTGGCACTGTGGCTCAAGCGGTAGAGCACTCACCTTGAGCTGTAGAGTGCAGGGACTGCGTCCAAGCCCAGAGTTCAAGCCCCACGACCAACCAAAAAAAAGAGGGAAAGTACTGGTGCAGTATCCATCATGTACTAGTCTACTTTTTAAGCACTATCAGTAAACTCACGGATAATGGCAGACTTAGTATTTTCACGTTCACAAAGCCAAAGAGGGCAATGTCATCTCACACCCCTGTCCTGCCTGATCTAGATGTTTTGTGTGCCCAGCAACTGCTTTAAGCTCAAAATTTACTAAACAGACCGCAGTAATTAAAAAAAAAAAACCTCACTTTACATTTTAAGATATAATTAAGGCTACATAAAGCAAAATGAATAGACTACTTTGTTACAAAGCAAAAAGGGTAAGTGGAAGTGTGACTCAATTGGTAGAGCATTAGCCTTGGAAGTACAGGGAGCCAGGCAAGTGTGCAAGGCTGGAGTTCAAACCTCAGTACTAGCAGGGAGGGAGGAAAGGAGGGAGAGGGGGGGAGAGAGAGAGAGAGAGAGGGAGACAGAGAGAGGGAGAGGGAGAGAAAGAAAGAGAGGAAAGGAAGAAAGGAAGAACGAAGGAAAGAAGGAAAGAAGAAAAAGAAGGAAGGAAGGAAGGAAGGAAGGAAGGAAGGAAGGAAGGAAGGAAGGAAGGAAGGAAGGAAGGAAGGAAGGAAGGAAGGAAGGGAGAGATAGAAAAAAAGAAACTTTCAAATAATTGTTTATATCTCATTATAACAATAACTTTGTAACTGATAATAAAAAATTGTACTTCTTGCTAAACAAGTGAAATATGGCTTCAATCAAACTATTTAACAGAAAACACCATTTTGTAGAAATGCGCATCTAAATGCTTTTCCATTCTTTAGGTTAAGAAAGGACCGTGCCCCCTGAACTGCCTATGTGGCATCTGCTGCCTCCCTGCAGCCTGGCAGAACCAGTCACTCCTCTGCACCGCTGACCCAGAGGCCTGCCAAATGCTGCAATGAGCTCAGTGTGGTCCTTTAAGACCCACCTTCCTCCCTGCACTTAACACAGTGTGCAAAGGCATGAGGATTTTCTTTTACATCCAGTTCTTTAACTGGATGTAACCTCCAGGTAGGCACTAGTGACTCTAGGAGACAAATCTGGAGACTCTCAGGCATACTGAGGTGAGAATATAGTCTGAAGTCTCTATTAGACAGCAACACCCTCCTGAAGACAACACAGCCTCTTCCCTGCAGTCTCACGCTAAGCTCCCCTGGGTAGAGGAATAGCACCTCTGCATTCCAGCTCAGATAGTCTCTTAATTGTTTTAAACCTCATTTTTGCCGTTGTCTTACAATCTTCAGACTAACTTTACCTTTGACTTTGAAATAATGGCCCTACTTGTTCTTCCTCCACGACTTTCCTTAACTGTGCCCTATTGCCTACCTGAGCTTGCTCCTCAGTTTCTCTGGCACCTACTGGTAGCAAGATACCTCATTAAACTGCTCCATCTTAACTCAGAAGCCATAAATTTCACATTTACTGATTTGTTTATGATTTCTATATTCATCTCCTATCTGCCACCTTAAACTATTCATGTTGTAGAAAATATTTTCCTTGTATTTCATGCTTATGATGAAAAATCAATGTTGTGGATACAGAAAGAGTTCAATAAGGTTTTATCCACTTAATCCAGTTAAGTACTGTATATAAGAGGAGTTTAAACATAATGTAAGAGACTGTCATCATTTTCCAGTTTTTTTCTAAGACTCTTCTCCAAATGATTCAAACCTCATGGTCCAACTGGACGCCAAGAATTCTCAAAAGCCCTGAGTCAAACTCTTCAGTAATCCAAGCCCTACCTGCTCTGTGTGACTGTCATTCTGGAATTAAATAGCCTCAGCCAGGTCACTCACACAGCCGCTTCTCTAGACAGTTCCATAGGCCACTTTGACAAACTCTGACAGGATAATTGGCCTAAGAACTGGGGATTTATGACCTTTAATCACAAACTGTTAAAAGATTTGGTGGAAAATGAGAAATGATGCAATTTCTCAGCTAACCTTCAACTACGTTCTGTAGCAGAACCATTCTTGCATGGCTGTATTCACACAGAACATTTTTTTTCTTTTTTCTTTTCTTTCTTAATTTTTTTTTTCTTGGTCGGTCTCGGGGCTCAAACTCTGGGTGTGGGCGCTGTCCCTCAGCTCTTCAGCACAAGGCTAGCACTCTACCACTTGAGCCACAGCGCCACTTCGGGTTTTCTGGTGGTTTATTGGGGATAAAAGTCTCACAGACTTTCCTGCTCAGGCAGGCTTGATCCATGATCCTCAGATTTCAGCCTCCCGAGTAGCTAGGATTACTGGCATGAGCCACCGGCGCCCGGCTCATGCAGAACATTTCGACACTTATACATGTTTTACAACCCTGTCTGGAAAAAATAAATCTCTAAGCATACAGCTTTTCTTCACTACAAAGAAATGTGTGTAATAGGCAACTCTAAGTCTCACCAAACCCAATTCAAAGCTTCAGAATACTGAAGCTAT